CATAAATTGATGGAAATAGTTAGCACAGACAGCTTCAATTGGTAAAATGTTGAAAGCAGAAGTTCTTCATAGAATAGTCTTAGATTGGCTCTAACTAGCGTTTGTCTTTCTCGAGGAATCTAATATAGGTAAATTGTACTTCACATTTGGCAGACTACGCATTTTAAGATCCAACGAGCGGACAATCTAACAATCATCTGAAGCAGTTGTTTCTAAATATGCCAAAGTTTTACAAATCATTACCAAAAGCTAGTTTCCAAAATTTAATATTTCATGCCCAGAAAATCAGCTCTATGTTTGCTTAATCTTATATATGTGAACAAGAGTTTTCAACTTTGAACCTTAGAAAGAATCATTTCAGAAGTGGACTAACAGAAAAGCATTTAGCCTTGTTTCGTTAAATAGGCACATTTTGCTTTGAACCTTAATATAAGGAACTTTTAGAAACGAAATCGCAATTTCATTCATCTCACTAAATATTTAAATTAAAACTTGTATATCGCTTTTTTTTTCAAATTTTGAAAGTTTTATTTGTCCCACCAAACATTTTTTTTCTCGATTTTTGGCCCACGACCAAAAAAGTTTGCCCATCCCTGTTCTAGTGAGATAATCTACTTAGAATAATATATTAAAACCGATATACTTATAGTTAACTATAACTTTCTCTTTTAATATGTTTTTAAAATTTTGAAGTTGAAACAATGAAAGACATGATAATATTTGCATAATAATAGTACTATTTTTATTTAATCGTGCCAACGCTTGCATAAGTCTCTGGTTAATATATTAATATAACTTCTTATGGCTTTCAGTTGTTTAACACGTTCACGCCGGGGTGACCCACCGGTGGGTCACGCTAGATTGTCTCATCTTGGCAGCGCTCCGGAGTAAAAACTGGCAACAATATATTTCATTTTTTAGTTTTTTTCCGAGAATAATAAAAATCCATAACTACCAATTGTTTTTAACTGATGCAATTTTTATATTGAATTGCTTCTTCGCCATGATAAATTTAATTACAGTGAATTGTTATTGTTGAGAATAGATTAACTCCTCCCGAATATTATCTAATATTGAAATAGTTCTCCTTTCCCCTTTTATAATATTTTCTCTTTTCCCGTACCAGTATTTTCACTTTTCTCGGAGTGAACGTGTTAAGATTTATATAAATATTTGAAACAGGCATATAAAAATTGTGATGTATTGAAAACATAAGTCTTTATTTTTTAAGATAATTAAATTAAAATAACAATATACTGGTTGGAGATGTTTGCACGCCACTGTACTTTCAAGAGAATAGGACATTCCACTTAAAATTTGTATTAATAAATAAACTGAAACTACTGTTTAGTTAAACATACGTTAAACAATGAGATTTTTTACCTGGAATCGGTTGATTCTTAATCATAGAATTGAATCTATCGATCACTTCATCCAAATCTTCGAAAACTGCTGAAGAAAAAATACCCCCGTCTTTCTTTTTTTCAGGCACTATGTTAATATAGCCTATTTGTTGACTTCTTTCTTCTCCGGAATTTCTTTTGCTAATCCACAATCTAAATAATTCAAGAATATGCATCTTTTTAATGTTACATGTGCATCTATATGCATCTTTTATATGCATCTTTTTAATGTTATATGTGTAAACAGCCAAAATCTGAAAGAAACTGGCCAGAGACTTTTTCACGCCACCATATTTATTTATTTCTCCGATGGAATTCAAATTATATGCACTAAAGACGAGATATATTGGGCGTTGAATAAGCAGCGAGCCACTGGCTGGAATGAGATACCTATTTCATTTAATTCTAGCCACGTGGCTAGAATTCCCAACATCATGAGGAAACGATGGCACCATTGAATAGGTAATTGAGTCAATACGGCGATTCAACGAGTCAAATCAAACAAGAATTCTTTTCTTTCATAACAGTGATTATGATTGGTAATACTTGTCTAATGTCACTAAACGTCTTCTTTGGAAAAGACGTCCTCGATCAATACCCCTACAACCCAGACCTATCATCAAGTGATTTCGAGGTATTTATGAAAATTTAAAGTGTTTCAAAAAGACTAACCAGAAAAAAACTAGAACGTTTTGCATCCATTTTCTGCCTGGTATCAATGGGGTAAATTTTTACATAAAAAAGGAACTTTTGATTCTTAAGAAAATTCAAAATCTACTTAACATTGTAATTGTACAGCAATCCGTTATCTATAATCTCATTAAACAAAATGAAAATTGCATGAAAATTTTCAGTTTCGGAGACTGAGTTTCTGAAGCATATTCTGCAGAACAAGGTAAAAAAATGTGATTTTGAAGAAAACGTGACTGTTAAGTTTGTTACGAGTTATCATGTTGCACAACTCTCTATGACAATTCTTTCGAGCAGGATCCAGTAATGGATCGAGCAGGATCCATTCAGCAACAAACGAATCATGTTTCTATTCATCGTGTGTAAGGAGCTGAGGTTTCTAAATCGAACCAGGACTGTGGAGTCGGTAGAGAAAATGACCAACTCTGACACTCCGACTCGCTAATATATATGTAAATATATATGCATGAGTTACAGCTTATTTTCTTTAAATATAAAAAGAGTAATGGATGCTACAGAAAAAAAAAGCATAGCTAATTATTTATGTTAATTAGAATTTATTATGAAATGGAAAAACTAGTGTTAGTAATTTCTAAGAAACAGTTTAGCTTTGGCAAGATTCGATTCTGCGATAGAGTGGGATTCGATTTCAAAAACTTCAGAGATGAAAATAGTCTTTCCACACTAAGGTGGAAGAGCTGTTACTGTTTGGGCTACTTCTTTTAAATTTTCAGGGAAGATTTGTATAAGTTCTAAAATATGTGTCTTGCAAGAGCGATCATATTCAATTTCAATCGATCTCTATTTCTTCAGAGATTGTGTAGAGATCTTTTTTTTTTCCTCCTCTCTAAATTTTATTTCTGAAGACACTTGGTTCTTTATTTTCATTCGCTTCGCCTTATCCTTTTTAATATTATCCAAATATTTCTCGAAACCTAATTCACTATTGCAAGAGGATGATAGAGACCGCAATATCTGCAGTTTGACTGTCTTGATTTGAATACTTCAATTGTTCTGAGAATAATGTCTTTTTTAGTGAAAGTTCATTCTTTGTCTTTTCAATTTGTTCATCATCCAACAAAATTCGGTAAAATTTAGAGTTCAAATTCAAACTGTCCAACAAAACTGTATTTGGAGTCAACGTGTTTTTAGCGACTCCGTGACTCCTACCTTTTTCTCAGAAATCTGCCTAAAACAGATTCAGACTTCATAACTCCGACTCCACAGCCCAGACCAGAACTTGTTACGTAATAGATCCGATTGAAATTTTTTCCCAGCCACGAAAGCTGAGCCAAATATTTTCATTGGATTGAAAAAGAGACGATTCACGACGACGCTCATCACGATTAGATTGTTGTAATTATTATTATAGTAATATTAATATGTATTAATAATAATAAAAGAGAAATTGAAAACACTTTGATGAAAAACCTCAGGTACTTACCTTAATCCTCTTATATAACAAGTTGATGCCTCTCCATATTCCAAGTAAATCATTTTTTCGGAATCAATTTCATTTCCTTTATCTTTAAATTCAACACTTTCACAAGTTTTTATCTTCCACTGGGGGTTGGCACGCAACCAGTCATTTGCTCGATCCACCAAAGACCTAAAATTCAATATAATATTGTGCAGTTCTAAAAAAAAATCTCCCTGAATAACTTTTGATCTAATTATCGGATCTTCGCGTGCTAAGGACTCGCTGTTAATGGCTCAAAGGGGTGACTTCGAATATGCTAAATGATTAGTGCAGACAATATTTTAAATTACGAAAATAGACAACAAAAAAAAAAGATGTACTCTCTGAATTTGATTAAAGTTTTTTTTTTTTTTTTTTTTTTTTTTTTTTTTTTTTNTTTTTTTTTTTTTTTTTTTTTTCTCGATGTATTAGGATTTCTGACCACAGAATGTTAGGTGTAGCCGCAATCTGTGAAATATGATCCCAATAGTTTGGTTAGGAGAGCTCTCCAAAGTTTGGACTCCTTAATGTTAATCTTACTTTATGCGTATATTTTGAACTTTTTACGCGAATTGAAAAAATTTTGCACAGAATTATAAAATTCGCTTATCCAAAGACAATTCTATGCAAAAATTAACTTTCAGTAAATACTTATTATTTTTTACTATTTTATAGTCAAAAAAGTTTGAATTGAAAAATTTATTTTTTTTGCAAGTTTTTAAAGAATGTAATTTTACATGGCAAAATAAAATGAATGTGAAATGGAATTTAAATGCAAACGTGCATTTAAAATTCGAATTTTCAGGAACTCTGTTCGACCGATTTAGATTGAATTTTGTATTTTGCCATGTAGAATTACATTTTTTAAAATGATTTAAAAAATGGTATGCAATTTAAACATTTTTCGACTATCATTAAATAAAATAATTAAAATAACAAATATTTACTAATAGTTATTTTATGCATGTTTTATTTCATAATAAATAATTTTTAAAAATAGTTTTTTTTGCATGCAATTTTCTTCGGATAAACGAATTTTATAATTGCGCTCAAAAATTTTTCAATTTGTTTGAAACCTTTTCGAGAAATGGAGAAATTAACATTATGCGGTCCAAACTTTGGATTGACCTCCTGACCAAACTATTGGGATCATATTTCTCGAATTGCGACTTTTTTGGGGGGGTCAGAAATCTGATTCCGTCGAAGAAAAGGTATGTTTATTCAGAGAAAGAGCGTTCTTGTGTCTGATTTCGTAACTTAAAATATCGTCTGCATGAATTAATTAGCATATTTGAGATCCCCCTCTAGAACGTGAAGATCCCATCATTATACCAAACGTTATTCAGGATGTCCCGTTTATTTATTTTGTGCACTGTACAGTTACTTAATACAAATCCACAAGAATTCATGTTAACAAAATAGTTTCTTTTTTTTCTAATTTTATAAAATTTTACAGAGAGTGAGAGAAAGATTGTTAGAAATTTTAAACCGTGTTGAATAGTAACATCGTAGTTCAACTTCAGAAATGGAAATACTAGTCAATAATTTTTTTTATTGCAGGGGTATCTATAAAACTTAAGAGTATTCTATGATTTTTAATATTATTAGGGGACCGGAAAGTAATGTCGTTTCGGCGCATTAAATATTCGTTAGTCTTAAAAACCAATTCAATTTTTCGATTATGATGGTGAATACATTATTGATTAAAAATAAAATCTTGATAACAAATATCAAATGCACCGAAATGACATTACTTTCCAATCCACCTAATATTTTATAAAATATTTTTTTCTTGTTTTATCACTCTTATGGTCTCTTATCACTATTGTAGATATATATTTTCTAACTTATCTCTTATCATTAAAATGTCTCTATTACATACCTTTCGATATAATGTATTTTATATCTGATAAGAAAAGATTGCAAATATTAATGCCACTGGACTAAACATTGAAGTAACAACCCTAGTAAAAATCAAAGCTGAAAAATATGCAATAAAAATCTGTAACTTTAATTTTAAGCTTAATTTGCAATTAATTTTAGAATGAAATTTTATATTAAAGTTATTATCAAAGAAAAGCAATGCTTATAGTTATTCTTTAAGTATTTTATTCACATTACATTTCTCTTTATAATTATTATGTTAAAATTGAAAATGTTTAAAAGAATGTGTTGAAGATGTATATTTTGGATACTCCTTGGATTTATGGTAAACATTTTTCTCTGTGGATTTCTATTTTTGACCCCGTAGATAAAAGAACTATTGAGTCCATTCGTCGGGAGTAAGAATTTTTGCAAATTTTTTTGCTTTAGTCAAGAGAGGAAAACTTCGAAAGTTTATAAGATTAAACATTTGGTAATAAAACTATATATTAGAAGCAACTACTGATAAAATTTTTATGGGACTAAATGCGAGAATCAGAATGACATTGTGAGAGTTTTATTCCAGAGTTTTGCTGTTAAAGAAACAGTTTTACCCAATTTAAAATTTTAAGTTTACCTCATCAACTGGCCGGTGATGAACAGCCGATTCTTACAGTGATATACGGCAGGCTTTTTTAAATTATATATTCTTAGATTAATTTTCTATATCGTTAAAGTTTAATAAGTAAGAATTTAACTAAAGATGAAAAGAACAGCCTGCAGCAGAAAAACCACGTGTTTGAAATTGAATAGAAATTGTTTTGAATTTTCAAAGGGGTGAGGTGAGCTCTAAGTTTCACGCAATATTCTCAAAGAGTAAATGCTGGACAAAAACCGGGAGGGCATTTTGAGAATGACCACGCGAACTACGAAAAAATACATTTTAATGTTTATGTTTACATATTTATTTGTCATATAAGATTATTCTCATTTAGGATATTAACCGTAATAAATATTTATTATAGAATACTTGACGTAATATTCTCCTTAGCTAAACTAACTGCTTTCTTTTTTATCATTGAATGCGTTAATTGTTATTTTATCTGTAATTATGTTTCCTAAATGAGCATTTTGGGTTGATATACAAAACAGAAGATATAGAATAAAAGAAAGCAATTTTCTACAGTGTTATGACTACACCGGCGAGTTATTATTCTTTAAAATTTTTTTTTCTCTTTTCGATGTTTAAAGGCAGGGACCGATCAAGACAAATTCAGACCCAAGGCCCACCAAATTTTCTGGGCCCCTTACAATATATTTTGAGATTAAATTACTGAAGAGTAGTCCTAATGATGAAAAGGAATCTACTGAACTGCATGATTCAAGAAAAACTTTCTAAGAAATTTTGAAAGTAGACAATTGAAGATTATTTTTCTAAGATAAAGTTTACGTATCTATAAATTTAAGCAAAATATAAAACAAAACAATGTTATGTCAAAATAAAAATAGTTTGGTGACCACAAACAATTGAAATCGGTGATTTTTGCTAGAAGTCACTGATTAGCTGAGTTATTTTTTACTGCTAGCTGGAATTATTTTTTTTTAGTTCTTAAACCAACACATAGCTAGTCCAACTTTCCTTAGACTTTTTACTAATTTTTGAGGCCCCTCAGAAATTGTGGGCCCTATTCCCATACCTAATGGGCCTAGGCTATAATCAGGCCCTGTTTAAAGGGATCCGTTTTCAGTATCGACCGGAGCGCAAAAACTTCTTCTGCCGGCACTGGCGAGCGCTATAGCCTCTACATTAGCCATTTCAGCACACGTTCTAAAAAAACGATTTATTAATGCTTTTTCTAGAGAGTAAAAAAAAATCGTTAATCAATATTTTAAAATTTACAAAGTGCATCTGTTTCAAATACATTATTGATAATTTCAATTAACGATGTATACAGGGTGTCNATGATATGACAGACCAGCATGTTAAGTTTGTAAACGACCTTTTGGGACACCCTGTAGACACTAATAAAGACTTACCTAAATGTTTCATATTTAGCTTGGCTGAAGAAGCCGCCACGACTTCGTTGTTCCGGCAAAAAGTCTACAAAAGTTAATCCGCTTTGAGATTTTTCCTCGCTAAACATGCTTTGAAATTGTGTTGACGGCAAAGTTGCGCCTGAACTCCACGTTGAAACCATCTTTACGATTCTAAACGCTATAATCTTTTCACTACTTACTTTTTTTTGAAGTAATGTGTTAACTCATGTCGGTACTTCTTGCACAAATCATTAGTAATGATAAATAAAATAATCGCTAACTAGTGGGGGTGAACAAATATTTTCTCGTGTGCATTAAAATGAAACAGTATTATTGATCAACAAACTGTTGATGAGTTGAAACTGGAAACGATCGATGACGTCGCGTGATAGATTCAAGAAACTTTTATTTTTTTTCTAATAATACATTAAATTACAAAAGTTTTTGTAAAAAAAACTGATTGAATATGAGTCATGAAGGGATTTCAGAATTGCGAGGAAATATAAACTTTGCATCGAGAAACTTGAATAAAGAATTTTTTTCTGAAAGATAAAATTACAGAGAGATAAATTTTAGAAGCAAATCTTTTCTTCCTGTGCGCGATAATTTTAGGTGCATATCATTTCGTCACTTTGTTTATAGAACAAATAAAAAACTAACTAAAAAATTATATTTTTATTACAAGTACTTGTTTTTTTTCCCTCCCTATTATTATTATTTTATGTCAAAGCATCAGAGTTAGATTTTCGTGTTTTAAAAGATAATGACCATCTGCATTTAATTAAAAAAAAATTTAAATTCTTTCTGTTAGAACACTATATTAACATTGAGATTTTAATTGATAAATATTGATATTTGTTAAAGTTCTCTGTTTCAGAGTTTCCGTTATACCTGATTCCTGATATACACGTTTAGTGTATATCAGGGGGGAGAGGTTGATTGCAGCTATTTGTATTTTTAATTTCAGCATGAAACTAATTGCAGTATTTTGGCTATAAATTTTGAAAACTTTCACGCAAAATGTTCTTGTTAGGCTTGGGTATGAAATAGATTTGGTTGTCTTTTAATGCTAAATTGTGTCTATTTTGATATAAGCGTTTGGGTTTTTTTTTTAAATAGATTTTTTTTAAAAATAGATTTTTTAAATAGTTTTTTTTTTCAAATAGATTTTTTAAATAGATTTTTTTCAAATAGATTTTTTTAAATAAATTTTTTTAAAATAGATTTTTTTAAATAGATTTTGTGGTTTAGTTCGCTTATTTTTATTTAGTAAATGCTTAATAAACTTGTCTTTACTGTCACATAGTTTATTTATGTTTATATATAATCCTCACTTCAAACTAACAAAGCCATAATAAATATCAGAGTGTAGTGTATTCATGCGAGAAATTTTCTATTTAAGTTTTAAATAATAGAATTTACACAAAGTAAATCTCAATTTTATAATTATATAATTTATATGGGTTTTCAATTTTAAATTTAAATCAATATGCACAGTACGCAAAAAAAAAAAAAAAAAAAAANAAAAAAAAAAAAAAAAAAAAAAAAAAAAAAAAAAAAAAAAAAAAAAAAAAACTGGATTACCCTGTTTGAAACTCAAATATGCTAATTAATCAGTGCTGATGATATTGTAAGTTACGAAATCAGACACAAAAACGTACTTTCTCTGAATAAACATGCCTTTTTTTCCAATGGATTCAGATTTCAGACCCCCAAAATATAGGGAGTAGCCGCAATCTGGGAAATGTGATCAGGAGAGCGATGCAAAGTTTGGATATTTTGCTATATCTCGAGAAATGTTTAAGTGAATTGAAATATTTTTGCACACAATTAATTATAAATTTCATTTATCAAAAGATAATTCCACGCAAAAAATAAATTTTAGTAAATATTTATTATTTTATTTGATAATATTCGAATATTTTTGAATGGTAATTCAGAAATTTTTTTATATTTTATGGTTCGTAATTTTCTGTGGCAAAATACACAATTTGAGGAAAATCGGTCGAACAGTTTCTGAGGAATCAAATTTTTAAAGTATATTTAAAATTCGATTTCTCAGGAACTATTCTACCGATTTCGCTGTTTGCCATTCAAAATTACCTTGTTTAAAATTAAGTAAAAAATTGTATAACTTACAATTCAAAATTTTTTCGACTAATATGAAATAAAATAATAATAAAGACTTACTATATTTTATTTTATGTATGAAATTATCTTTGAACAAATGGATTTTATAATTATGCGCAAAAAATTTTCAATTTGCTTAAAAATTTGAGATATAGCGAAATACACAAAAAGTAAAATTAACATTAAAAGGTCCAAACTTTGGATCGCTCTTCTGACCAAACTATGGAGACCATATTTCCCACATTGTGATTAAAATTAGAAATATTAAAGAAAAATTAAAATAGAATAATTAGATGGTTCTTTGATAGCTGAGAACGATTGGAATACAGTAGAAAAGCTTTAGTGACTGACAGCAGACATTAGATCGTAAAGGGTTAAAAATAAATTTTTATATTATATATAATATATACAGTACAGAACCCGTTATACGGAAATCAGAAAACCGGAAAGAAATTCGATACATTTTCCCGCCATTTTTTTAAAAAAATGTTTTTTTCCTCATAAGATTTTAGGATTTTTCTCTCTTTTTTGAAAGATGTTTACCTTACCATCATTTTGGAAATAATCATTAGTGAATTACTTCATCGTTTTTTTCTTCTTTTTAAGATTATTTCCAAATATCTTTTAATTTTTTAGTTGGGCTCAACAATAAAAAAAAGGCTTTTTGTAGCGATTCAGAAAACCGGAAAAATCATTATCCGAAATAGCGATGTTCCCTACTGTATATATATGAATGCGGACATAGAGTTGAAATACTGGGAAAAATGACTCAACTCTCTGAATCAACTCTATGAATGCGGAGGGGGGCACTATCTAATATTACTCTACACTTGCAACCGGCCAGCTCTTGACGTGCTTTATTTGTACCGATTTTTGTCGTCGATGCATTATATTTTAAATTTTTTTCTTTCTTTCAATCTTGATATTTTTTATACAATATATTACAAAACGCGAAATATGAATGTGACTTTTTAATCTGCTTACTGCTTTTGAACTTGGTTTCTAATTTTTTGTTGGCTTAAAAAACGGTGTAAAGATTTAGCATTCATCGCTTTTATAATTCACTAAATAAAAATGTTAAAAATATACTAAACTGAATCTTAAATCTTATTTTGAGTTATAATGCGTCTGTTTTTATTTTAAATTACTTTAAACAATGTACAATATCCTTAATTAAAAAATTTATGTTGCTCAAGAAAATATTAATTTTGTTACTTTATTTAAAAAAATTTTTTTCAGATAATTTATTTTAAAATACACTTTTGTGTGATGCGCAAACATATTACAAAGTTGAGTGAAAAAAAAGAAAATTAATTAACAAAAGTTAAGAGGATTAAAAAAAAATGAATTATAAATATATACAAGAATTTAATTTCGTAATATTGCTAGTTGGCTGATAAAAAGAATTGTTTCTGAAACACTGATGTTAACAGAAAAATTATAATAGCCATCAACATTTTAAAATACTTGGGATGAACGATATACCACTAGTTGATTCATTGCTGTTTTGTGAGAAGCCGGGACAGCTGTATTAAGATCACCGTACTTTTGAGTGCTGTATTCTGTTCACGATTGTGGTCGCTCCTCTGTTGCCATTAACAGTCGAGTGTATACAGGCCGAAGTTGTGTGTGATCGAGACTGAGTAGCAACAGCGTGAGGAAGTGGATAATGTCACAGTCACAAGTAGCAAGTCAACTGTTCAATGGGGACCATCCATCAAAGTAGGCGTGTTTAAATCGAAGTGGGAGTTTCTGTCAAGGTAGGCGCACATCTCGTCTGAAGGTAACCAATGTCAACCTTCCTCTATGAAAAGGTACCCCAACGTTGAATCGAGTTAACATGTCTTATATACTAGTGAAGTGGAATTGTAATTTTGTAGTTTTAGATACACTACAGTGTCGTTAAAAAAAACTATCAACTTTCCTTTTAATGTTAAAGTGAGTTTGCATTTTCGCTTCTAAAAGAAAGGGAAACAGGTGGTGCTGAGTTTCATAAATTAGATGCATCAAGTGGTCCTTCCAGATATTGTCCAAGCTTAAAGCTGCTTTATCCTGCCAATTTACTTAGAATCAAAATCATGTGTGCTAGCCATCTCATTACAGAAGCAATATGAAAGATTTACGATTTTTTTCTTTTATAGGTAAAATAATTTTACGTTCTTAAGCTATTAAAAGTTTCTCCCAAATCTTTTTATATAATTTTATTTAATTTGGATTTGAAATTAGTTTGTTTTCTAGTTTCAACTGTATTTAATTTCGATTTTCAGATTTTTTTTAATGTTTTTAAGTATACTGGTTTTAAATTAACGAAATTTTAGGCCAGCTTGAAACTGAGGAAGTTCAACTAGTGTGTGCAGATCAGTGCATTTCAGTTGAATCTCAACCAAATTTGGCATTAAATATTAAAACCACTTGAAAAAGAACACAAACTTTAGAAGTAACAGTAGTTTATTACAAATATTTTATATACAAGATCATCTATATACCTTAGACTAATAAATGCATAACCAGTCAAATGACTCATTCACTATAGGACCATGGCAATATAAACATAGCACCATATATATATGTATGTAGGCATGAGGAATGTGTATACATACAGATTTATACTATTTTTAAAGTCCACAAAAAACTTAAATATTTCATAATAGTAACAAATGAGTTCTGACAGTTTTTGACAGACAGTAGATACAGACAAGCATTAAAATTTTCCCCACAATTTCATTTAGAGAAATGATCTATGTATTGATAGCTTTAAATAATATAGCAGGAAAACAGTTTGAATCAAATTTCTTTTTCAAACATTTTTAGGTTTGTACATAAATTTCACTTAATGTATCTATTTGATTTTTCATAGCTCTTAAACATATAGATCACATGCACATGAACTTCTTTGAAATCTAGTTCTGGCACAAAAACAAGAATTTTTTATTTCATTTTAAAAAATGGTACAAATTTCACGAAGAAAAATACTGTACATGTTATAAAGAGATGAGAATTTACAATGCAAGCATGAACATCTCCATTTTTACAAAATTTCTCTCACCAGTAATAAATTAAAATTATAAACTAATAATTTGAATTTCTGCAAAAAAAACAAAAGCAACCTCTTTTTATAGTTTCAAGACAAAATTTAACTTAAGAAAATATAAATGCATTTTAGATTAATGATTGCATTCCTCATGTTAATTTGAAAGCAAAAAAAACAAAAAACATTTAGTTCATATTTACATAGAATTTGAAAATAATGTCAATTGACTAAAGTGATATGATATGTCATCACAAAATCGGATATTATGCTTATTTAAACAAAATATTACAGCATGAAAATGAATCGCATACATTTAAGTAAACAACATGCACATTAATGTGCATATAGAATATATTAAGATTTACACCATTCAATTTTTATATCGAATGTAGTATGGCAGTGGTATGGTATATATTTTTGGAGAATAATTTAATGTAATTATGTTTTAGCTAGTAAAATGCTTATAAATAGGAAATAACTAAGACAATCACATAAAAAAAACATATGATTAATTATGTAATAAGAAGTTATAGAAATTGCTTTATACCATATATTAGAGTTCGTTTCTCAGAAAATCTACTTTTCAATTTCAATTGTATTAAACTCTACATAAAAGTAATTTGTATAAAATATGTCATAAGTTTATAAAATAAACAAATATTTCAAGCATAAAAAAGTAATTAAATTACAAAGAACAAATGAATTTTTTGTTAATTTTATAAAGTTATAAAAATGGCTGGAATTGGACACCTGAGGTTTAAGTTTTCTTCTATGGGCATTCTTGAAGCCCTTCAAAATCAGGCATAGTAGCTGCCAAAATTATCACAGTCAGTTCAAACAGCTACCTTAATATCATCGGTACCGCCTTAGCATATTATGTTTTTATTTTTAAACTTAACAAGTATACAGGCACCAGGCTTAAACAATTTTCAGTCATATTTTTTCTTGGACCCTGATGTAGTTCGAAAGATGGCTAATAAGTTCTTATGGTTATTTAGAACTGCAGACCACCAAAATTGCTATCATGAGACATTTGGATAAGACTTAGCAATTTTAAAAGAAGCATAAAGAAGACAGTTATCTAAAAAAAATGAAAACCAGATATTTGTTCGATATATTTGCTTCTGTTAAAAAAGGGTGCAAAAAATAAGTAGGGTTACTTAATAAACTTTTTCAATTTTTAGATTGAAGTTGTTGATGTAAGATTAAGAAAATGTTTGGCACCAGTCATTGGGTACAATTCTTAAATAACAAAGTTTCAATATGTGAATTTAATACAGTATTTATATGTGCATTCAAAGGCAAATTAGATATATCTATTTTTTACTGAATATTCAGCACATTAAATATAGTTTTTTATTCTGGTTTTAAAAAAAGTAGAAATAAATGAATTATTTTTTATTATCTTTGCTACTTTACAAGTAACCTTTTGAAGTACCTATAGATGGAGAATAATAATAAGGCATTTTATTATGAATATAAAGATAGACAATAATTGCTATTTCTTTAAAAATTGCTTAATATTAGATTATTTAAAGATTTTTTTTTTTTTTTACTTTTTATAATGCTGACATCTAAGTCTTTTTTAAAATGATTGAAATGAAATCCTAGCAACCCAACTTATTTATACCAAAATAGGAATCTAATAGACTTTTTAGAAATAGTGATTCACTCATAATTTGAATTGTCACAAATCAAATAAGTCCAAACATACAGAGTTCATCGCAAACTTTCATCCATATTACACAAACATTTGCCTTTCTGTCATTCATAAGGGAGACTTCATCAAAAGTAAATTAGAAAAAATTGAGTAAAAACAGAAGCAGTAATGATGCAGATAGGTCCAGAAATCTTGCAATTCTTTAGTGGTCATTACACTTCATTTGTAACCTACTTAGATCTAAAGCTACATCCTTTTTAACTCCTTTTTTTCCAGAAAAATATGTTTAGTTAAAGGAATAATTTCTTAATAGTTTCAGTATATTGCCTTATCACACATAAGATGGCACGGAATTATAATTCTTTGGTGGTGGTAATGTTTCAACATCACAGATATCTACTTCACTGTCTTCAAGTTCGCAGACTCTACCAGATAAATCTGGCAATGATGCATCATCAGAGTCTATATTATCATAACAAAGTCTTTCAGTTTCCCTTCCTGCGGAACTTTCTAATGCTTTTCGAAAACCGTGACTTTTTCTCTTAGGAAATCCATAGGCAGGCTGTTCATCATCTGAAAAATCTGCCCACTCACTGCTTTTGCTATCATAAGAAGGAGGAGGAGATCCATCGTTCTCCAGGAACTGAGAATGGAGGGATTCTCCAACTTTAGGCTTATTGTTCTCTATTTTATGTCTAGATGGAGATGGTTTTAAATTAGGATTGCTAAGGACATTTTTCTGACATGCATTTCCATCCCGATCAGGTATCATCTCAATTTGGCTAACAAAACTGTTGGAATCAGTACTTTGAACACTTGATGAATCCTGTCCTTCAGTTGGAGATTCATCTATGAAATTGTTATTAATACTCTGATCAGGTGGGCTCCAATCAGATACATCCCAAAGATATCCTAAAATGAATAACACAGTTAACATGAACAATTAATCAGGTAAATTTTGTATTTATATATACTGTATAATTTTGTATTTAGTATTTCTGTTTTGCATGTACTGTATAATTTTGTATTCGGTTATAAGATCTTATTTATGAAGTATTTTAAAATATTTTAAAACAATCCTATTTTGAAAGGTCTAAAATTAAGGAAATATTTTCTCTCAAAGCAATAAAAAGTCAAAAAACAAAAGAATGATTTTTGCAATTTAAGAAATTTTGCATATTTTTTATAAGGTTTTTAGGCGTAACAATGCTACTTACTAACAAACTATGTAAGCCACATCTGATATGCTATTATTTTAAGTTACTGTTAGTTATGTTAACTGTATTAGGTTAATATAAGGCATTCCAAAACTAGATCAGTAGTGTTTACTTTACAATCTTAAATTTAATAAAATTTGGTACACAGATTTATTAGGGGTGTGAAAGTTTCAGATTATAAAAATTGTTATTAGTAAAATCATTTTAATACTTAAATTTCTTTGATATATTTATAAACTTATGATAAAGAAAAGCTGATCAAATTTTGTCTTAACTTTGTGATTGACAGAGATGTTGATTTTAGATTTGCGCAAATGGTGAATTAAGTTGTGAGCTTTGCTAATATTTTTTCAAGTAATTGAACTGAAATGAGTAAATAAAAATTTTCAATGAGTCAGTTCTCTAAGAAATTTTTTAACAAGCTTTACAATTAGGAACTTGCAATTTAAAGTATTACTAATATTTAACTCAAAGTTCTTTTAGTTTTTGTTAATGGGGCCTAGAAACATATAAAAGGGATACATCAAAAGGTCTGAAAAAACAAACTGAAAAACGCTTTTGTGAAGATAATAATTGAAAAGGAAAAAAAAGTACTAGTTCACACAAGAGATAAGCAATTTTTGAAACCATTTTCTAGTGTTACTCCGAAGATATTTCTTAAAAAATTAAATGCCTTCACATTACAACAGTATTTGCCAGTTACATACAAACTCAGATGCCAAAATCCTCATATGTCACAAAGTTATACGATCATAAGTTTAATTTTTCCTTTGAAAATAAGTTTCCATCAGGAACACCATTAGAAGTTAAGTCTTCAGTATCTAAATCGAAGAGATTTATTTTGATTATGATATCATTTTCTTGTGAGTCTTATTAACCCTTTAACTGTTAGCTGCATGTTATTCGTGCTAAATCTCACTTAGCATGAATAACATGCAGCCAGCAGTTGCAATCACTGGAGACTGAATACTTTTCGCACAATATATTACATAGTGCACAGTCTAGTCTTATTTTATAATCGGTATCGAACAGCCAACCCAATTCTGAGTTTACGACTTTCACTGTTCATCTCCGTAGCCTTGTAATTTTAAACCTAACGCAGATGATCCAACCGAACATAATTTTGAACCCAATGCTCTTGGATCAAGCATTGGGACAAACTAGCTTCCCGGTGTACTTTTTGATCGAACTAACCCACTTTTGAGTTACATGGAGAGGAAAACCACGAAATCTCCTGTTAGCCTGACAGCAACTGGATTCTAACCCATTATCCATCTACCATTGCGGATATTTCACATCAGCACTGTGGTCCGTGGAAAAATCTAATTTATTATTTTGTCCACTCTAAAACAGATCCAAACAGTTATTTTCTATATATATTCAGGCATGTGATTGCAGGTAGAAGAAATTTATTTTTTCCTCACCACGCAATTTGTTTAGTATTTAATTTTTCTTTTTTTGTACATGAAAGACTAGTTTTTATGTACAAAAAGTAACATATATAATAAAATACATATTCAAGAACATTTTCCCAAAAATATAAGTTAAAACTTATACAAATATGAAATAACACATTGTATTATATAGATGTGAATATGAATAGAATTAGCTTTTTCATAAATTAAAATGGCATTCCTTCTAAACAATGTTTTTATGTTAGCAGAGCCTATAACTTTCACCCAATTTTTTAAACTCATTAACCACGAAAACACAAATGCCAAATTTGTTTTTGAAACGAAGAACTACTATTTTGAACTAATGCAACAATAACTTGCTCTTATAAAAAAATTCGGTATAATTTTCTTCAATATTTGATAGCTATCAAAGCTTTTAAAATTTGTTAAATTTTGAAAATGAGTGTCCCTTTATATAAAATTAAAATGTTTAAAATTTTGAACGCGTAAAGTTGATTAAGATCATTAAACATAAAACTAATCACAGCATGCATAATGCAAAGTAATATAATCTAAAACTTCTCATTAAACATACTTGCCATGGCAATGTTTAATAAGATGTGTTCTTTTGTTATCTATAACCATTCAATGTGCATGTTCTTAATTTTATTGATATTTGAAGAATCAATGGTAGATTTAATTGGTCTTCCAGTAGCTAATTAATCTCTATTTTATTCTATAGTTAATAAAAGACAAAACAGAAGTTCATGCCTAAAATCTGAAAGAGGCGTAAGCTCCAAGAAATTCTAAGAAGTGTCTTAGTATAGTCAATATAGACTAATTGTTGGCCAACACCACTTTTTTCCATGAATCTTAATTTTATAATTACAATAAACTACATCCTTTTATTTTTCATGTTTATGTTGCTTAACTATGTGAGGTTTTGTTCTAGAACTACTTCTAGTGTACAAAATTATGCTCTTATGCGTTCTTATATGCTCAAAAATCTACTACAGTAAACACTCAGGCAGTAAAAATGCAATCTACTATTTACAATAGATGTCCCAATAGATATTTTGTCTTTTTTCTTTGTGTAAACACGGTTAAGTTTGGGAGAAAAAACAGCTTTTTTTTTAGTAATTTCATGTACAGCTGAAACTATGTCAATATATAAGCTGTTAATTTTTTAATAAATAAGATAACTGCAGGAGAAATAATAGTCTTCGAATTTCTGTAGTTTCCAAAGTTGAGTTCTATAATCGAATTTAATATAATTTACTTTATTAAATATTTCTAATTTAGTTCAAAACAGACAGAATTAAATATAAATTCATATGTTTTATTTACAATACAACCCATAAATCCACTTAGAAAAAATACTTTCTTCAAAAAAAAAAAGCACAGTATTGTTCCCTTTTTAAGGCTAAGCTTAAGATTTGTGAGGATCTTAGATCTTTTGTGTTTAGTGGGAAAATGGCAGGAAAAATTAGGACAGTAAAAATTATGGCTAAATGCACAACAGATGTAGAAACTTCAAACATTATTCAGTATTTGATTGTAAAATAATGGTAATTTTTTTGATAAATTAGACTAAAATTACCTAAAAATATGCATCATCTCTAGAAAAAAATATTAGAAGGAAATAATATGCATTATTTCATGAACAAAACAATCTTTATAAATAGCTGCTAAATGTAAACTGAAAATTATTTGTCTACTTTAAATACATAAATAGTCCAGTCATTTGAAAAAAAATTTAATTGCATTTTAAACCAATCGTAAATACCTTCAGGCTTGTCTTCCTCTGTAATGAAGTTGAATTGCAGCAATAAAAAGAAATAAAAAGTTTTTATAAGACAGCGTAAATAGCTTTAGAAAAAACTAAAGCATCAACTATTTACCTATTTATTTTTTTAGACTTCATTATCAATTAATGGAAGAACAGATATACTAATTTTATCATTTGAATTATTTTTCTTCTTTCATTACTTCATAAAGTTTTATAGAAAATTTTGTCAAGCAGAAATCAAGCTAAGCAACTTAACTGGTTCTTATTACAAATATACTAAGCATAACACACAAGCCAATAAAGCTGAATGTTTTTGAAAAAAGAAATATTAAAGTCTGGAATCAAAAAGTTATTTTTCTATGGTTGATTTTTTTTAAAGAAGTCTAAGTTTTCATCATTATACATTTTGTCAAATTATTTTTGAGATAAAAAAAATGCTATCAGCTAATAGATTGTCAGAAATTGTCTATTTTAACTAAATGACCAGCATTGCCATTTTCTATAAATTGAAACAACATTTTATTAACTAAGTAATAATTGATTTTTTAATAGGAATTTAAAAAATGATTGCAAAAATATACATCTATTTGTTTGCTGAAAAGTTATGCCTTTTCACACTTCAAAATATGAACCTTTTTTTAAAAAAAAATAAGATACAACTTTTAAAGTAGGAAATAAAAAACAGTTTTTAGAGCAAAACTGTTTTATATCAATTTTAAAGTTAAATGTAACATATTTCTTATTAGAAAACCCAAATGAAATATACTTGAACATGTCATTGTAAAAAAAATAGGCAGTTGAAAATTTTACAAGTATTTAATTTACACTTAAATTCAAGGTAGTGACCTGTACTTGATATTTAAACACCTGTAGAATAACTAATAAAATAATTAACTTTATAACTTCAACTAATAATTTTACAAAAAAGGTACCAATCCATTGGGTCTCTAAATGATTGCTCAAGTTTCTTTACCATTTAACTTTTAATTATAAAGCAGGATAAATTTTTTAAAATTTTAGTATAAAAGCATTGTTAGTTCACAGAACTTCTGAAGCATTCTAGTGAAACTTTTTCAACACAGCAAGTAGCTTGGTGTGATTTCATACTGCTTTCTTCACATAAATTCTAAAATAGATACTCGAGGGGAAATAGAATTTCATCTCTCATGGCAGTCATAATGAGGATTTTAAAGGTTTCGAATAAAGCATCAAGTCTGCGTTTTTTAACACAAATTTGTGTGCAGATTTGGTAAAAAAAAATCTTCACAGCAGTTTTGTTGAGAAATAACTTTGCTATCAATAAAATACTTCCACAAATATGTAATAATCTTCCTTACGTTGTTCTTAATTAAGTTATGAAAAGAAAGAGAAACTCAGAGTTAAAAAATAATACATATCTAAAATATTTGAATATATAATAGAAAATTACTTTAAACATTATAATAACATTTAGTATTTGCATAAAAATAGACATCAAAAGCCATCTGAAATGATGTAACACATGAAAGAAGATAAGACTAAATTAATGCATTGTTAGTATGATGCTTTAAGTAAAGAATTCAATAAAAAAGCACAGTTTAGAAGTTAGTAGGCAGAATTCAGCTAATTCCCATTACCTTACAAATTTTCTTACCCTGTTTAGACTCTTCTCTTGGTGGCGGGGGTGGTGTTGAGTGTTTACTATCAAAGTTACTTTCACTGCCTATGAAATTAAGATAAATTTACTTCCTACAAAAAATGTCGCAAAATTCTCGAGTAATTAAAAATAAATATAAAAATTTTCAGAAATCTCATCTAGTAAGCTATGTACTCTAACTAATTATAATGAAATAAAGTTTATAAGATTTTATGGATATAAAATTGCACCATTCCCTTTTTTTGTAATTAACAAATAATTCATGATAGAAACTTATTGTAAGATAAAAGTTAACATGAAGACTAATCTACTTTATATATTTGAATAATTGAAATTTCGGTAACTGAGGTTAATCAGAATATTTTAAATTTTCAAATTTATTTCAATTTTATTTTAACCCTTTAAGCTTTATCTTCAGACTTTTTTCGAAACTTTATGCTGGTCGAATTCTTGAAAGAAAAAAGCAGGCTACAAAATGTAAAGGTCTTGATAGTATACTTGGTTAAGTTTCTTTTTACCATATATACATAATTTTTAAGGTTTCAATGAAAAGTTTTCTTTTAAATTAATAAAAAGAATTCATAAGTAACTAAATTAAACTGCTGTTTGTAGAAAATGCAACACCATGAAGGAATCATCAGAATCAAATGAAATTCGCAGCAAATGTCAATTATAGGATATTATGCAAATTAATAAAGTTTCAGAGCCATCGCGCGTGCGTGGCGCGCGCAGCGCCCTCTGAATTGATGCTGAAAGCGTATAAATAAAGTGCTGTAGCGGGACGTTGAAAATAGTCTATGATTATTTGTTAGTGGCAAACGTTTAGTGAGACCTGAGTATGCCTCCACGACGGAAGAATAAGAAATTCAAGCAACTTACGGAGTTTGAACGAGGGAGGATAATCGGCCTTCGAGAAGGAGGATTTTCCTATCGCGCAATAGCAGCTCGTATGCAGCGGAACAGTTCCACAGTGATGCGAGTTTGGAAGCAGTGGACCGACGAGCACCGAACAACTCGAAAAACAGGCACTGGACGACAGAAGGTGACGTCAGAGCGCGATGATCGACACCTGCTCCGCATGGCGGTGAATGATCGCACAGCTTCCTCCAGGCAGCTGGCAGCACATTGGTCTACTGCTACAGGTGTACAATTGTCGGCTTCGTCAATTCGTCGTCGTCTGCTGCGCCGTGGATTGCGTGCAAGGGTGCCATTATACAGGATTCCCCTCACGGCGGATCATCGACGGCTGCGTCGGCAGTGGGCTCTTGAGCACAGAGACTGGCGAGCTGATTGGCACCAAGTTGTCTTTTCAGATGAATCACGCTTCAATTTGTGGACCCATGATGGCCGTGTTCGTGTTAGACGTTATGCCGGTCAACGCTGCCTTCCTGAGTGTATTATTGAACGACATAGTGGTCGAACACCCGGAGTTATGGTCTGGGGTGCGATTTCGTATCATGGACGATCCAATTTGATACGAATTGAGGGTAATCTCAATAGCAACAGATACGTCCGTGAAGTGCTACAGCCCGAAGTCGTTCCTTTCCTTCAAGGCATCCCTGGAGCTATCTTTCAGCAGGATAATGCACGCCCACATGTTGCGCGGACTGTTAGAGACTTCTGTTCAGCACAACGCATGCAACTTCTTCCTTGGCCTGCTTATTCGCCGGATATGTCGCCTATTGAGCACGTGTGGGATATGGTTGGTCGGCGTCTCACTCGTGATCCGCGTCCTGCAGTTTCCAAAGACGAACTTTGGTTGCGCATACAAGCGATATGGAATTCTCTTCCTCAAGCAGATATTCAACATCTGTTTGACTCCATGCCACGTCGTATAGCAGCACTTATTGCAGCGCGTGGTGGCTGCACCAAATACTGATTTCGGACGCTTAATTTGTTTCTTTTGTTTTGAAAATTTCATCATTTATTTGTATCAGTACAAGTCGTTTCTGCATTAAATTTCATTTGATTCTGATGATTCTTTCATGGTGTTGCATTTTCTACAAACAGCAGTTTATATATAAAATATAGATTCATCAACTAATTCAGATACATAACATGTCTTGCTCAAAGATATGTATACAAACTTTTCTCAGAAATCATGAAAGACTCCGAACATTGAATAAGCATTGAGAAGGATATAAAATATCCTGATTTTAATGTATGGCAGTCACTTGCAGCAATTGCCAAATTTTTTTGAGTCAAAACATTAAATTTTGAAACTGAAAATAAATTACACAATTGTTCAAAAACATAATAAATTATTTTGAAATCATATTATAACATATCCCTTACCAGATGAATCAACAACAGAGTCAAACGGGGTTGTGTCTGTGTGTTTTATTTTTTTATCAATTTCATTTGGTAAGTTGACAACAACAGGATTGAGATCTGTAAAATAAATATAAAATAAGCACAAAAAAAAAACACAACTTTATGTACAAATAATAGCAAAATATTTTAAAAGGATATCTTACATTAGTTCAAAAATAAAAAAAATTATATGTAAGGCTGATATAAAACAGAATGAGTCAATTTTTTTTTACCTTTATGATTGCTGTCTAACTATTTTACTTATTTTAATTATTTTTTACTATCACAGCAAAAAAATTACAATAAATAGTAAATTTTATTTTTGGACTAAATGCACAAATAATGACTAAATAATAAAAAAATATTTATAATTTCTCCTTTTTAAGGTTTAAAATTTACACACTATCAAAATAATCAGTACAGAACCCGTTATCCGGAAATCAGAAAACCGGAACGAAATTCGATAAATTTTCCCCCCATTTTTTAAAAAAAAAATTTTTTNTTTTCTTTCTTTTTGGAAAGATGTTTACCTTACTATCATTTTGGAAATAATCATTAGTATATTACTTCGTTTTTTCTTCTTTTTAAGATTATTTCCAACAAGAGGAATTTGGAAAGATGTTTAACAATAAAAAAAAAACTGCTTTTTGTAGCGATTCAGAAAACCGGAAAAATCAGTTATCCGGAATAGCGATGGTCCCGATTGTTCCGGATAATACGTTCCCTACTGTATTTAATTGGCTTTAAAATTCCTGAAAAACATATTCTTGACAATGAATATATTTTATTTAATAAAAAGGTTGAAAACTAATTCAGCATGATTTAGGTAATATCAAAAGTTATAGTAAAGGGTGACTGGTGCATGTTACATCTGTCGAGTCGCTAAGTCCTCCATGTTCCCATAACAAATTAATACGTCTGGGGGTACTGATCCAGGAGTTTCCTTGTCTTCTGGATTGGTTCAAAGTTACAAGGCTACGGAGTGGAACATTAGAATTCATAAACCCAAAAATTGGGTTGGCTGTTCAACGACGGATGTAAAATAAAATATCAAAAGGTATGAAACTTAATGCATTTATTTTTTGTATATATTAACCTTTGTTATATCTAGTTACAATGCTATAAAAATATGTAATTTAAAGTGTCAAATTTATTTTGGCATTATAATTTTTTAAATAAAATACTTATTTCTGTATCAAATTTACATTTAAATTAATAAATCAAGTACCAAACTGTTATAAAGCCCAGTTTCATAACATTTGCATTTTTGGACATATTTTCCCTCTAGGGCATTTTAGAGCATTTTATAAGTTTCGGAAATTCTTTTGTAATTTTTTTTATTATTCTGATAACTATACTAACAATGTTAAAAATTTTCATGTTCATTAAAATACATATACAAAAAGGAAATGTTCAATAGTCAATATATTTTCTGTTTCTTATTGTTATATTTGCATATAACATTTATTTCAAACTTTAATGAATGCAGAACATGCCTTGCAGTGCTTATGTATTTTGACATGCATAAAAGTAATTTTAAAGAGAATAACATTATTTTAGTTTCAAATTATTAACAGGGTAATTTTAAATTTTTTTTTGTCATCAAAACTCCTTCTTTAGTTATGTGTATGCTCCATTTTAACAAAAGCTTTATTTTTAGTAATTTTACTTTTAAAATTTTAATTGATTATTGATGCATAACTGCACTGTGTTTATTCTTAACATATTTGATACTTACTTTTCCATGAGTATGAGAACATTTTCTAGTATGTATGAGATATTACTTTTTATTTCACAAGGTGTGGAAAAAATTCTGAGCGAAAGAGAATGCTTCAGAGTTACAGTAATGTTATGATTTAATGTCTTTTCACAATTTAAGCTACTACAAAATTAGTATCTTATTTCATGGAAGTTTGTAATTATTTTTTTAAAATCTATTTTCAAAATAAGAAAGTCTTTAATATGAAAATCTTTTACATGAATTTAGTCAAACACAATTTTATATTCAATACAAATGAGGTGGCAGTACTTAATCACCACATAAACATTTTGAATTAGGAAAAAGTATTTAATGTTAAGCCTAATATTTGACTAATCTGGAACAATTCCATGAATCAGCATTAAATGCAGTGAGATACAAAGTTCAGATCAGTATAATATACACAAATACCATTAACGGAAAATTTTTTACTATTACTAAAAAAGAAAAAAATCTGAATCTTAAAAGAATGTTTGTATTTTTTAAGTTCCTGAGAAAAAGATTTTTCGCTTTTTTTCACCATGCAAACATGATTTAAGATCGCGCATCTTGATTCCTATTTTTCACTATTTTATATCAAATATAGCATTTCGTATTCACCTGATTTAAAAGCAACTATTGGGATTCATGTTTAAGTGACTTAAAAATTATGCATCAGAATTCATATTCCCGCAGTTTTAAAATCGATATTGGTATTCATGCGATTTTAAAAAATAACCTTGAGATACGATGTTTACTAGATTTAAAAAAAATTATAAAATCTCACATTTATTAAAACATAGACAACATTCTGTGGATAAATGCTTCCTTCATACACTTTTTTCTTACTCAACTTTTTCTATTTGTAGTTTTTTTTTACCCTACTCATTATGTGGTATGAATCAATAAAAAGTTCGATAAAAATTAAAATTTTCACAAAAAAATACGCGATTTTCAAACAAAATTTCGCCAAAATGAAGTGGAGACGAAAGAGTTACAAAAGTTGATCAATGTACACAGAAAGTTTTTCAATTGAGATTTTCATTTTATTTAAGTCTGTCATAGTCGATATGCTCTGCAGTGTAGAAGGGCACAGAACTTAAATGGCAAAAAATTTATATTTTTGCAAGTAAAAAATATTTAATATTTTTATCCAACACATTTTTTGTAAATATAACAATATTGATTAGTAAGTAGTAAAGAATTTGTAATAAATCAACTGTACTGCTCTGTTGCAATTTGTTTTAAAATAATTTATAAAGAATTTGGTAAATTATACATAGCTAGAAGTCAACAATATAAAAATGGAATGAGGAATTCATAATTATTTTTTGATAATGGGGTTTCTAACATACTTAGTAGGACCTCAAATTTATTTGCATTGCCACTATCACACAAACAACTTATATATTTATTTGATGTTAACCAAAAAATTAAAATTTTTATAGTTGGGAGATATGCATATTCACGTTCCACACAATTAATCAGACTAACTAGACAATAACAGTAGATTTTCATCCACACTAAGTTATCATTTTCAAAAACATATCTACATTGTGTTAACACAGAAAGAATATTTTGAATGCAGTAGCTTCTTCAAGCTTGAAAGCTATTAGTCACCACTAGCCTTAACACTTATCTTTAAGCTTTAGAACAAGTCTTTATTGAGGTTTTCCATTTTTACACCAATTTTTCTTTGAATAACATGGAAATAAAACAGTTTGTTACACACAAAAGAAACCAGGCTTATGCTTAGATAATTAACAGTCTAAAGAGTAAATGTAAGTACATAAATTAAAGATATAAGATTCATGAAAAATATTTATGCAAAGAGAGAATAAAACTATACTTTTGCAATATTTTATTGTATATAGTATGAAAACCTTTTGATATAGGGAAACTACATATTTCACTAAAGGGGATTTAGGACATTTGTAAAATTTTGGAAAATATATCGTTTTCATGAGATTTTCATTCCCCACTAGTTTCTTTTCTTCTTAAAACAATAAATTAAGAACAGCTGACATTATATGCTGATAATGTAAAACTAATGAAAAAATAAAGTAATAAGCGTAAATAAAAGAATTGTGTATTTACTCTACTTTTTTAAGGAGCAACGTAAAAAATAGATAAATCAACATAAATTGCTCAAAGTAAGATCAGGTAATAAAATCAAATTATACAAATAAATAAAAACTTAAAAAATTAAAAGAAAACACAGCCATGCTTAACTTACTGTTTTGAATTTTATCTTCATATATTTTTTCCTTTGAAGAATTCAAATCAGTTTCCCACCCAGCTTTCAGAAGGGAGTCTGAATCAGAGCTGGACGGTGGAGGAGGGGTGAGGGATGGAGGGACACTAACATGAGAACTCTTATGTGTGCTAATGTTTTGGAACAGTTGGCCCCCATACCGTGGTGTATTGCCATCAAGATCTTCTGCAGCACTTCCATAGCTATGAACAGTATCAAACTTGGCCAAAACACTCAGAGACTCTTGAGTACTAGGAGTATAAGATACAGGACGGGGTGGTAACGGTGGAGTAGTAAAAGTGGCATCCAGATTGCTTATTTTGCTAACTCTTTTGACGTTGTCTTTCTCAATGATTGAATTTTTCAGCATGAACTCATTTGGACCAGGTTCATCTTCAAGTTGCAAACTTGACCTTCTCTGGCGGCGCTGTAATAAAGAACAAACATTAAGTTTTAATATTTAAATGGATATAGGTAAGAACTGAAAGAAGAGTTAAAATTTAACATTCTTATATTTTTCAAAAACAAAATCAATTTTAATTCTATTTGGCATTTTCGTAAAAATATATGCTCCTTTAAAATATTTGACACTATTTTAATAGAAATACTTCAAACTATGAACTATTTCATAAAATAAAATGCAATATTAAAATATACGAAAAAGCAAACAGGAGAATAAATTCTATAGATATTTTCAAAACAGTAACTGAAAACTATAGATCCTTTATCTTTTGTAAAGATTTTATGTTTTTAAACTACACTTTTAAATATTTATTCTCACAGACTCATTTTCAAACAAAGTAAAAGTTACAGCCTTTCACAGAAATCTAGATAGATGAAGCGCTATTGTTAAAAGCTTTAAGCAACAGTTTGATTGTAAAAGAAGATGTTACTTTTTCAAAGAAACTTTTGGTAAAAGTTTTAATTTACAAAATTATAAGCATTTAAAAAAAGGTAGCGAATAATTATTATCTATTACTAAAATTGTATATATAAGGGAAAAGATTAATTAAAGTAATGAATAAAAATAAACATAAACTGCACTAAAATATAAAGATTTTCTTCATTAGGTAGTTAAAAGGAATTTGTGATTTAAAACTTAGATAGACATTGATAACTGTAACATATTATACTTTACTCTCAAATAAACTTGACAGATTAAATTGAGTTTAAATTTCATATAAAAATAAGACCCTTGGAAAAAGATGACAAAAAAATGCAGTAAAACCACTAGAGTATATTTTTGATGGTATCATTAATTTCGAATGATATATGTGGGGGGGGGCGGCAAGTCTAACAACATAATGTATAATTTTGCATGTGTATTATTGCTTGCAAAAAATATATGGTAGTAATAAATTTACAACAGATATAAACTAAACTTATATGAGGAAACAATACAAAGAAAGATGGCTAAATAAATTTCTTACTTCATGTTCAGATATTTTGATTTGCTACACTGCACATACTTTGTTACACATTCTTATACAACAAGTAACTTCAACTTTTCTTTATATTAATTTATCAGAATAAAGAAAGGTCCTCTAAGCTTTACGTGCTTTACAAATGTTTAAAACTAGTTCTGTATTGATTAGGTAAACTTTATTGGTATCATCCTCTATTTCTTTATCTTTGGCTGCTATTTTTAAACAGAAATCAAACCAAATGTAGCAGCTTTTTTTTCAATTAATGAATAATCATCAAAACTGATGTTTGAGAGATTATTTTAAAATTAAAATAAATTGTCATTTTCTTCTTTATCCTTAATATCAGCATTCCCAGTTAACATTTTCTTAAAGTCATTAATTTTTTTGAATGATAGATGTGGGAACTTATAAGGTTTGAAAAAAATTTAATTAGCTATCATTAACATAATAAGGCAAGCATTAATAGTGGGACCAGTAAAAAAAACTATGCATACAGAAGAACAAAAGTGCATGGACAATAGTTCAAAGCTCTTCTGTAGTAGATCTAATAACATTAAAAAAGTACCAGCTTCTCATTGGCTTTATTTTCACTGAAAATGATTAAATAAGGGTAAATGTATTTACTTATAGTAAAAGTAAAATTTTTTAAAATTTTTTTTACCTTATGTCTGATTCTCCAACAACAAGCAAGTACAACAGCTAAAAGCATGATAAAAATAACAACCACTGTAATTCCAACTATTTCTTCAATGGTTGTATTCCAACGCGTGGACGTGATGGAGTTCGTATAAAGGAGTTCTGAACAAAGTGTGCCAGTAACATTGTGTGGACATTGACAGCGAAAAGATCCATCAAAATTTTCACAAGTTGCACCATTAGCACAAGGATTAGCTTGACATTCATTGACATCATACTGGCAAATATCTCCATAGAATCCTTTACATTTACATAATGGTCCATATGTCCCTTCTTCACAAACACCTCCATTGTGGCATGGGTTTGGATTGCAATAGCGACCATAACCACAACGTTTTCCACTCAATCCTTCAGGGCAATCACAATGGAAAGTATTATTCACATTATGACAGGTGGCACCGTTAAGGCACGGATTTGAGGCACAAGGATTTGTATCAATTTCACAACGAGGTCCCAGGAATCGTGCTAGGCACTGACATGTAAAGGAATTTCCTGTAGCATTACAAGCACCACCATTAGCACATGGTTGACTACCACATACTCCAGGATCAAAGAGGACAGCACATTGGAACTGTACATTTGCAAACCTGAAATATAAAATGGTTAAATAATCAAAGTCTAGAAAATCAAAAACAAGTTTAATAAACTGTATTAAATAATAAGAACATTGGAAGGTAAGAAAAATAAAGGAAAGATTATGTTCCTAATAGATTACCTTCGCAAAGTAACAACATTGTTTCCACCTGCCACATGTAAAGGTAATGATACTTCATCTATCCTAATATCATCCATACATCCAACGAAACCCATTCTAATATCTTCATATCCAAATACTGCAGGGTGATGTCGTACTTCTGCTCCAAAATATATGTCATTTCCATCCAAGTTTAAAATATCATGAACACCAGGAGCATTTCCAGATGAACGATGCACTTTATCAACTATCACTTCGGCAGCATTACCTCTTCGTTCAACACAAACATCATGCCATAGTCCATCATTTACTTGAGGATGCTCTACTCTAACTAATCCTTCTCCACTACCACAGTCAAAACGGTATTGCACATATCCATTCACAATCTAAGAGTAAAAATATTTTGAGCTAAGTTGGAGTTAAAAATTTAAAATGAAAACATTAAAAAAACATATATAGAAAAGGAATCTATTAAATGTTAAATATTACAGGATAGTCACAAATACTCAGAAATTTTCCTTACTTTTTGGGTTGATTATATCAAATTTCTTTGATTTTTGTAGCTGATCATATAAATTCTATTATTAATTTTCTATTTTGTGTTATTCATGTACAATAATATATTACATAACTTTTAATTGCAATTAAAGTAAAAAATAAACAAATTAAAAAAACACTTAGACAAATCAATTTAAATATTTTACATGAATGGAGTCAATAAATTAATATAATAGATGATTTTAATAAACAAGTTTAATAAATAATGCTGCTTCAATTTATGACAGATCAGAAGTAACTTCTAATCACAGTAGGAAATATTTGTTACCAGTTGCCATAAATGTCTATGGTGAAATAAATAAATTTCATTAATACTGTAAAATATTTTTTATTTATTTTGATAGTATAATATTTTCTAACAAATGATAAATTAAGTTTTTGCAAGAAAAATATTTTTTAAAGTGATGAAAATTCTTAATCATATTACAAATTCAAATGGGTTCATAAAGTAAACTAACTAAATAAATAAATTAGAAGTTATTAATTTATTGATATAAATTGAGCATCAGTTAGAAAAAATTCTAATAGACACCTTTTTTTTGAAAAAATATTGAACTTTGAGTACATAAAACTCATTTTAATCCATTTTCACTGATTTTTTGGGTATTTTAATTAAATTTTTTGATATTTCTCTGGTTTTTCTGGATTAATGAATTTTCTGTTCTATGACCATCTTCTTATATAATATATTATATGTTTTCCATTAGTAATACATATTTTAAAAATAAATGCTTCATCAATTTGGTTCTATGCGCACAACAAAAAACAATTTGATATCATTAGCAAATGAACTAAATTTCTAAGGTTTCCTCAAGTACATAGAGAGAGAAATATCTTATTGGTTGCAAGAAATAGTTATAATTTAAGAATTGCTGGAAATATAAATTGCTTTCTAATTACACATCCACACCTATAAACATAACGTAAAGATTACAGCAAATAAAATATTTTTAAGAAACTAAGTAGACATCTGACAGAAAACTAGAATAAGAGAAAACAAACCTGCAAACAATAGATTTTAATAATTCTTTGGCTTTGTAAAATAAGAATATATCAGTGAAATAAATGTAGAAAAAGATAAAGTTTGCATATTAAGTTTCTTCTACTTGCAATGATAAAAAATATGTAAAAACATAGAAGTATTAAATCTGTAGTTTTAACCACCAAAGTAACCCTACCTCTAAAATGCTGTAATCTCTGATTCCTGCTGCATACATCAAATTTCCAGTTGCTTGTACAGTTCGAACACTAACTGCAATACTTAAATGTCTTTCAAATGGGTTTGCTAAGGAATAGCGAGCATAACTTTTCCCATTATAAGATATAGGATTTTTCTCTGCAATATAATAAATGCTATTAATTTTTCTACAAACTTAAGATTTTATTTACGAAATTTCTTATCATACAAAAATCTATCAAAGCAAAGAAAAAAAAAATCTATGCGCTAAAAAAACTTTAATTGAACCACCAATATTGTAGTTTATTATACTTTTTTTAAAATTAAAAATTGAGCTTGAGTTTTATACTGTTTGGAAAAAAAAGAACTGTTAATTAGAAATATAAAAATAAAGCAAAAATAAATTCTGCAAAATTTAGTAGCATTTAATTTAATTATATTTTTTTAAGAACATATATTTTCTTAAAAAGTAAATATTCTAGTAATAACTGGACAAAATGGGAATGTTCCAAAGTTACTACTTTTGTATAAATTTTTTGCAATTTATTTTAATTACTAGGTTGTTTGCAATTTAATAAATAAATAGAATTGAATTCATGAAATGTAAGTATGTATTTCCTATATTTTCCTTAACACCGGATGTATTTCACAATTAAAAGATTACCTTATCAATTTATTTAAACCTGGAAAACTAGATTCTAGTTCTAGTATTTAAAGTTTAACTTGTCAGCAACAAGTATAAATTAGAACAGCTGTAATTTTTATGAATAAAGTAAAAAGGATTGTAACTTAATGCTAGATTGATTTACATTGAGATAAGGCTAGATAACATAGAGAAAATCTTCTTTTGTGTAGAAAGAATGTGACCAGCTAAAAGGTCCGAAAATACGGAACTAATAACATCCAGAGATCAAGTACAGAAAAAATTAAATATACCACTTTTATAGTCAAATACAATTTTATATTATGTTGTTTTACAAATCTCAACATATTTATAATTTGTTAATGAGAAACAGGTTCTTACCTTCATAACAATTACTACCACGGCAAACTTTAGTTTTATCTCTATCACATAATGGTCCAGTTTTACCTGGTGGACATTGGCAAATATATCCTAAATCTGCTGGATGTGGGAAACATACATGATGGGATGAGCAAGGATTACGTGCGCACTCATTAATAACTATATCACAGCGATTTCCTAAAAAGACATTACTGAATGTTACAAAGAAATAAACCAAAAGAGGCACAACAGAAGAGACAGACACAACAAATGATCAAATTTAAAAATACTTCAGCAGTTGAAACAAGCATAAAAATACCTCATTATGTTTTTAGGTGATGGGTGAGATGTTTATTATTCTACAAAAATTTCAATTTCAAAGTTTTTAAAACTTTAGGTATAGAATTATATTTTGGTTTAATGAAAAAAGCTTTACTAAAAACTTGTGAAGAGTATATTGATTTATTGAATAAATATAGCTTAAAAATGTTTCCAATTTAACTTTAAAGATGCAAAAAATTTCTTACAAGTTCCCCCTTCATATACTTTTTTGGCAATAAGTAAAAGCTAGTCTGTGTTTCAAGAAAATATGCAGGTTTTAATCGAAATTGAGTTTAGGATTGACAACTAATAAATTAGACAGATGATAGACTAGAGAGTAATATGTTTCTAATGTTTTTTAGATAATATAATGGGAATATTTTCTAAAAGATCTGAAAAAAAAAACTTTTTGGTAATTTAATTAGGATGTATACATTTAACTAGTCGTAGTTTAGATTTAATAATATAATTCATCAGTAAATAATTGCTTAAAATAAGAAGTTAATATTTTGGTATGTTCATGAATATATATATATATATANTATATATATATATATAATTATATATAATTATATATATATTTAGATAATATTATATATATATATTGTGTAAAAGGAACTTTAATAAGAATTTCTGTAGTGTTTTTACGGACCTTATATTTGAAAATTTTGCTACATGTATCTTAAATTAAGCTGAATTTTTACAATAACAAACTTTGTCTGATTTTTTGAAGGTTCCAAACAAATTTGGAGGTATGAGGATGGTGCTGCAGGTTCACTTCATAAATTTTTCTACTAGAATTGCAAGTCAGTGCCATTTTTCACAGCATCTTAACTCAATATAATAACATATGAATACATTGATTACATGTTGTTTATAATTGCAATATGTTTTTAATATAATTTTTAATTAGTTAAAATACTGAACATCACTTAAATTTTTATCGGAAATAAAGGCATAACTATAAGAAATGTCATTTCCAGATGTTAAAAGAAGGAAATGTTTGTCACACTTAGTGGCAAAAAGTAACTTAAAATTGTAAATAATATAATTATTCTATGTCATTTTAACTTCAAATAAATTTGAAAAAAACCATACCTCCATATCCAGATTTGCAAACACATTCAAGTTTTCTTACATGTTGGGGCGACACATAACCCAATAATTTAGTAGTTATGCTAACAACATACGTTTCATCCAAAACAATGCGATCAACACACTCTCCATGAATACACCGATCAGAAGTACAGCGATCTTTAATAATCTAAAAGAAAAGTAACAACATTAAAAATTTTTTTAATATCATTACATTTATAACATAGTAATAAAAATATATTACAATAACAAGCTAAAAGCAACTTACTTTGACAACTTTTAGATTGGAAGATGTTTCAAATAGAGATTGCTTTTCTTTGAACTTCATCATAAGCTGTTTTACAGGATAATATGAATGAGAGTTTTTTCGTACAGCAAACAAAACATCCAGATCACGATTAACTTCTCTTTTTACTTTGGAAGTCGTTGCTTCAGCAGGCTGAATGCTTAAAATATCAATATCTTTAGATCTAATACTTAAGGCACTTTGCAATCCTTTCAGAAAATTTTTCCTGTGATTCATAATAAAATCTTCAGGTGTAATATTTTTCAATCGCATGCCAATACTATTTTTCACAGCATCTTCACTAACCATATTAACTTGTACTAAAATAATGCCATATGAAGTAAATTTCCCATCAGTTACACTTACATTCACATTATAGGACCCAACATCCAGACCAGGATTAGCAACTAAAGTACCATCTTCTCTATCAACGGAAAACAAATCCTTGTAAGGAGAAACAACTTCATAATGTAATTTATCATATGGGTCACCATCAGTGGCATGAATACGACCCATAACACCCCCAGGAAATTCATCACGGAATGAATTAATAACAACTTCCAAAGGAAATACTGTCGGAGGAAACTGACTGTCTTCAATTATCATGGCAGTCACCCTAGTATCACTACTCAAAGAGGGACTACCATTGTCAGATACTTTAATATGCAACACAAATGTGTCTTTTTTCTTATGGTTAAATTTAGTAGCAGTTCGTAATGATGAATCTTGTTGAACCAAACGAAATGCATTATCTTCATTGCCAGATAAAATTTCAAGAGAATAAGGATCAGTATTTGGAGAAGCATCAGCATCAACTATATCGAATTTGAGAGCAGTGAAACCAATAGATCTGCCTTCCTGTAAAAAAATTCAAAACCTCTTAACAAATATGCATTTTCATAGATGCTTATATATTTATATATATATATTACAAACTGTATATAACTCAGTAATAATTTTTTGTTGGGGTTGCTCCTGATCTTCAAAGTGGTTTATCTAAAATTAATTGTTGATAAACTTTCAAAAGTTCAAGAAGAGAAGAGGATCAGAAAAATCTTGTAGAAGGTAAAACTAAAGGTTTAAAATGTGAACAGGCAATGCCTAAACAGACTCGTCTTATTTGGTGCAAATCTTAAAAACTTTTTGTTTTTGTTCATAGAGAGATACTTTTAGTGTCCCCCGGTAAAAAGCAATATGCAAGTCTGCTGGCTTCAATGATTACCGAAAAGGTAGGGCACTACCAGACCAGTCGAGTATCAGTCATGTACCAATCATTTTTTAAATACTTAGATGTAATATTTCATAAAACCTCCTACTTAAATTATACCTGATGATATTTTATTCCTTTCATTTGTTACTTTTTAAACTGTGATTAAGAGATTTCCAATTAGAATCCCTCATACCATTTTTAAATTTATTTCTATGTTTGAAAAATTTGATATGCCAAAATGCTAAATAACTATCATGACCAAATTTTTCAATTGATTTAAATATTTATAATTAATAGTAAAAGACTTTGTTATGCGTAGGTCTGAACAAGGAACATTTTCCAATTTGAATTCAAAAATCATTTTGTCAATAAAAGATTAGTTCATAATTTTTCATAACTAAAAAATAGTTAATAATTTTTCACATTTATGTAAAAATAAGCTGGTGAAATAAAAATTATAGAAAAAATAGAGTATACAGATTACAAACATACATGAACAAATGTTGCTAAGAATGCTCACACATTTATTTCATTTCATGAGATTTTTATTTTAATTAGTTTAGTACCTGAATAATGATAGAATAGTTGCTTTGAGAGAACATAGGAGCATTGTCATTAACATCCGATACATCGATATTTACAAAAGCAGTTGTAGAAAGTTGAGGAATACCACTATCAGAGCACATAACTTGTAGAACATAGTTTGGTATCTATAATAAATAATAAATGAACTAACTGATCTGATTAGAGCTACGTAAAATTGAGATTAATAACCAGTATATGAAAATGAAATTATATAACAATTCTCACTATTTAAATAACATTTATCAAAACACTTTTAATTTTTAATTTTAGATAAAAAAGTTTTTTTCTAATTAAATTATTTTAATAAAATTTAGTTATAAAATAATGAGTCTTTAAAGCAGATCTATACATTAAATTAATTTATTAAAACATTTCACAAACTCTCTTGAATAATTAAGTCCCATATAACGACTATTCATAATAGCAGATGAAAATGTCCTTACTGTTAGTTTATTGTTGTAATATTTAATGTTAAAAAAAACAACTAAAAGACTCAAACATAGAATACAAAAAATAAAAAGAAAACAAAACATGGAATACATTTACCTTTTCTCTTTATCAACTATTTTGATACAAAATACATATTCAGAGAGGACTGTTTTTACCGACAGATTGTAGAATGGATTATGTTGTTTTGTTTTTCACGAAAGCTAGCCATTTCTATGACAGAAATGTTTGAAGAACTATAAAATTGGACAATTACATTCAATGCTTGCATTAAATATTTTCCTTTAGGAGTCTTATTGAAATTTTGTTAGACTAGTCATACTTTTAATTTGTTGATATTTAAACTCTTCTAGTACCATGGGGGATTCCCTCAGCATCTGATATGTCCAGTCATTAAAATGTCTTTATTGGCATTTCAAAACTATTGAAATAAAAATTGAACCAAACTTTACATGCTGCACGCCTCATAGTGGGTCAAAGAAAATAATCTTGATTTTTTTGGAACAGTATATATATATATATATATATGCCAGACTACTTTTAAAAAGAGCGAATGACAAAAAAGAGCATAATTTGTTCAAGTGAAGTACATTACTGAAGTTATTTGTTCTGCTGAAGTACGATGCTCAAAACAATTAAAGGATATTGAGGTTGTGGGTTGATCTTGCACTTGGAGAATTTTTGAATGATTGATACATTATAGACAGATGCAGTAGGCAATATGAGATAAAAATAACATTTGTTTGGCAGAAAAAATGCTTTTTATTGAGCATTTATGTACAAAAGAAAAAAAAACAATTTGTGCATATGAGAAAAACAAATAAAAAAAGGTGTTTCCTTAGAAGAAAATCGTTTCAAGGTTTCCTCGGATGGCTAGCAAACGTTGAATACCTTTAAGTCACCAAAAAATGTTTCCAGATCCTGGAACCATTTTTTCTGCTATTTTGGCTTGTGTTTGCCCCCCTTTAACCGGCCAACAACTCTCTACGCTTCTGTTTCGGGTAAGTGACTTCATTGAGACATCACACTCATCGAAACAACGCACTTACTGAATGTTGGTCATTTTTTTCCGCTTTGTATTACATTAAGTTGAAAGCCAAATCAAAGTCATTCGTCTTCGATGTCTAACTCAAAATTTGCATACTGCAAAGCTTGAAAATAAGAAAAATTTGCACTAGTGACTCTCTTATTCCATTTTATGCAAAAAAATGCTTATAGTACCATTATTTTATACAAGACTTACAATATCCTTCAATTGTTTTGAGCAGTATATATTACTTAAGCAATTTGCTCTGTTAAAGAATATTTTATGATGTCATCCATCTCTGTCTGGTTTCAAAAATGCATGGATAGTAGCATCTTTAAAACAAAGTAGTGTTATAAACTAATCAATTATTAATGGCTTCAAACCATGGCTTTCATTCATATTAGCACGAAATAAGACAATCTGTCTTTCTTGCCTCTTTCTCAAGAATCACCTTTTACTGTTAAGATCCTGTAATAAATTGTAAATAAACTTGACTAATAAAATAAACTCTGTTTATGCCATTCAAGGATTTGACAAAACAGAGTACTCATCTTAAACAGTCTGCTCATTAGCAGAAGCAGATTTCCTATTAATGACTTGTATAGATATGTTTAAAACTAACTATTAGTCAATTATCTGAGCAGTTTAAAGTATATCAGCATATCCTTGGTTCATGGCTTTACTTTTTAGAATTGGGTCACTACTGGAATGTTTTTAGAACTATTATTACACAGCTCCTTCCAATTCTTCATGAGCACTAGTTTGCAATTTCTTATATTTCCCAGGATTATTTTTTTATCAAAGCTGTATCACTTTTCATATATTACTTTTAGTGCATTTATTAGCATTCAAACAAAATTCGAAGTTTAGTTTTTAAGTGTTACATCTTTTAGTTTTTTTTTCCATGGCACTGTAGCTGTATTCTTTATCACTGTCTAAATTTCAATTGGCACTAAGCATTTAACAAGTTAGTAACAAAAAGTTTCCATATTGTAATAAGTTTTTGCAAGAAAAATTGAAATAAAGTACAATAGCTGAAAATAGTTTGACACTGAATGCTGATTTCAATATTAAGTTTTCAAGAAGGAAAATAAGGTGGCATGGTAAATATGAAAGACATGGTCAATGAAAGGGAAATTTTGTTGAAATGCGTGGTAAGAATTCCTAAAAATAGCAGAGGAATGATTTGTTTGCAAGGAAAAAGTTAACTTGGCTGGTGGTGTGCCATATTTGTTAGCTTTATAAACATAAAGAATTAAGATTGTAAAAAGGAAATTATGTGGTCAAATCAAATAACGTTTATTTTTTCACTTTTCAGTATTGATATTAGAAAAAATAAAAATGTCTAACATTTTGCTCTTTTTCATATATTATTGCTCACATTCTCAGTAAAAAAAATTTATGCTGCTAATAAATAAATAAATAAGTTAATAAAAAACTAAATTAATTAATCAAATTAAAAAAATAAATAAATAAATATTGCAATTTATTTTTGTATCTAAATTTAGGACTATTTTGATGGTGAGTTAGAAATTCGTCAAAGCACCAGACTTCTCAAAACACATCAGGCTTTATCAATAGTTTATAATTAAAATAGTTAAAGATAGAGTGACTTTGCAATTGATAATTATGTAAATACTTGCTTAATCTTAGCTTCATAGTAAAAAATAACCAAGTACTGCATAAAAGCAAGAATGTGAATAAGATGAACAAAACTGGTCTATTTTGAAACAGGATGCAGTAATATAATAGACCTTAATAGAATATATTTTTTGATTTAAAATAAATATATAAAAAACTTGAAACTACTTACAGTTTCCCTATCAAGAGCTTTTGAAACCTTTATATACCCAGAAGTACTGTCCATTGCAAAATAGTTGTCATCATCACCAGACATAATTGAAAAAAATAATCTTGCATTTGGGACACTGTCAGCATCATTTGCTAGAACCTATTATTCACACAAATATAAAAGATAATAAGCCAAAAAAAATGCAAAAATAAATAGTTAAAAGAACTGAACATTGTCCATTTTGTCACTAATGCTAAGTCTAGTTAAATGTTAATTTCTGGCACTCATATTAGAATAAGCCAAATTAAATGCGTAGTTTTTTTCATATCTGACAGAAAATAAATTTTGTATTTCATAAATGTGATTGATTCTATAAAAAATTATTTTAAAATCTTTAAACTAATTAATGAAAGTTGTTTGAAAGAAATTAAATATACATTACAAAATTTAATATATTACTTTCGGTGAATATAAAAATCACATTAAATTAGTATTAGCAAGGATATTCAAAATCATTGGAGTTAAGTGCTATTTCTTTATGATTTAAAATAAATGCATTACAAAGATAAAAGTCATATTTAATCTACAAATAGCAATCAAAAAGTTAATCAAAAATATACATTACAAAATTTCATATATTACTTTCAGTGAATATAAAAATCACATTAAATTAGTATTAGCAAGGATATTCAAAATCAATGGAGTTAAGTGCTATTTCTTTCTGATTTAAAATAAATGCATTACAAAGATAAAAGAAATATTTCATCTACAAATAGCAATCAAAAAGTTAAAACAAAATTTTCATTGTGTTTATATTTTAATTCTTTGAATCCTATCAAAACTAGAATTTTCGCACATAATTTGCATAGATTTACTTAAATATCTCACCTGGATAACTTGACTTCCAACAGTTGCATCCTCCCTAATTATTGCCCTATATGAAGGTTGACTAAATACAGGAGCATTATCATTTGAATCGGTGACAGTTACGTTCACAACTGCCTGATTGCTCAAAGGAGGAGATCCACCATCTACAGCCTGGATTGTCAAAAAGAAGTCTCTCACAGCTTCATAATCAAGTGGCTTCAACAGTTTTATTTTACCTAAAACAACAAATAGACTTTGTTTACTAATAAGAATACATAAAAAATATTGTTGAACATTTTACGGGTGAATAGATTAGTGATATTATTGTAGGGAAAAAAAGCGTTCTAACTAAAATTTAAGTAAACTGAAAATTTATGTTCACAAATATTTATCTTAAATTTTTTTAAAACTATTTAAAAAAAGTACTTACAGTTTTTTAACTAGGTACTTTAACTTTTTAATGCTCCTAGGCACAGGTTAAATTCTACAGGTTGCTTCTTTTTTAAACAAACTTTTTTTACAGAACAAAAGAATGTGTCTTGAAAAAAATGTATAAATTTAAATGTAGGGTTATTTGAGGGTCAAAAGTAATAAAATTGGTACATTAAAAATGTAACTATTTTTTTTAAACTTGCAAAATGCTGATTATTATATAGCGAATATAATGAAAATATGTGGAAATTTTTTATTTTTGTGTGCAACTTGTAAATAGTAGATGATAAGAACATTAGGAAGGTAATGCAGAACAAATCTTATTTTAATTTGCATGTTATTTTTAAAAAATTGCTAACTAATTAACAAAATTGCACACTAATTTTATATGAAAACATAAATAAACAAGTTGACTACCTGTAGAAGTTGATATCTCAAAAACTCCTTGCTCATCTCCACCAATGATTGAATAAGATATTTCAGCGTTTATTCCAATATCTTCACTGGTAGCATGAACAGTTGCAATTTCAGAGTTTACTGGAACTGATTCAGATACAGTTGCAAAAATAATTTTGTTTGTAAATTCTGGTGGATTATCATTCACATCTAATACTGTTACACTTAACAAAACAGTTGATGATAATGAAGGAGAGCCATGGTCAGTAGCTTGAACAGTTAAATTATATTCAGATTCGGTCTCTCGATCTAGAGGTCTCTTCAAACGAACAATTCCTGTTTTAGGATTTATTTCAAACTGCCCAAGATGATTATTTACAAATGAATAACTTACTTTCCTATTTGCACCTAAAAAGGTAATAGATATTATAAGAAATAAAGCATAAACCTAATACAAAGCATAATAATATTTTCAAATCACAAAGAAATAATAAAAGTTTAACTACTCAAAGCAATAAAAGATTATAATTTTAGCATTTAGAAGACAGCAGTTTAATTAGTTGATAGATGTAGAATAGTTAAGTTACTTAATTTTGAAATATAAATGTTACTTGATTTTAAAACACTAATTTCACAACAGTATTTATTTCTAGCAAAATTCTAACCATGAAAATGATAAACTCTCAAAAAATTAATACTTAGGTACCCTTGTACTATTTTACATGGTACAATACTATTATAATGTACTATTTTACATGGTACAGTTAAAGAATGGCCTCATTAATTTGGTTTGCTTGAGTTAGATACCCAATTAATATGGGAAAATTTGTAGTTACTGCTATTTTCTAATACAGTAGAGAACCATTTATCCGGTATCCAGCTAACCGGGAAGAATTTTGTTTGGTTTTCCCACTAGGGGGGGGAATTCTTCTCCTCACTTGCCCAGAGGAACTTTAATTCTTCCCCTGACCTTGAAGATCATTAGATTCAGAGGGGGCAGGGAAGGGACAAATTTTTTATTTTCTCCTGCGTTCATTTTCTTTTTCTGATAAACTGCCATCAATCAAACTTAAAGAAGTGCCAAGCTGATTTCGTTTTCTCTTTGATTTACGAGGGAGTGGGGAAAATGCATTGCACAGGCATAGCAATGAATGTTTGAGTTAAGGAACTTGAAACATCTGGCTAAGAGTATTGATTTTAAAGGTGAAATGTGAGATTTATTTTAAATCATCCACTTCAGTTACTCAGTTTTGTTATTTATTATGGTGAATTGTTTTCCTATTTCGGATAATGCATTATTTAATCACTAGTTATATTCATTTATTTGACATCAATTAACGAAACAATATTTTTTTGTTGAATAAATTCTGATTTCTTAGAAATGCGATATCATTAGCAAGTTTTTCTTGATGAGCAATCACATCTGCTTTCGTTAAAAATAGTCTTTTAATAAAAAAATAAAATAAAAGGAGAAGATTGTTTATTAATTTAAGCATATAATTATTTGTTAATAAAAGCAGGTGATTATTTTATAAAGATGATATTAGTTTATTTTATTTATTTATTTATTTTTAATTTTGATTCTGTTTTTCTGATTCCACTGCGTTGTTTTTTTCCTCTTTTAGATAAATTTCGTACTCAATAAATTAATTCTTTTCATTCATAAATTTTATCATTAAGTTTTTTTGGGGGGATTTTAATTATTATCAAAAAATAAATATGCAAATTTCGTATTTTTTAAACTTGTTTTTCTTGTTTAAATTTGCAAATATTTTTATCCTTTTAAATGTTATTTTTCTACCATTTTTTCTCATTTAGTTGATCTTTTCGTTTTTTCCCTATTTTTAAATATGTTTAACTTCTTCCTTGTAATTTGGATTTGATAAAACATCGATTAACGGCACTTTTGGCCGATCCAGAAAACCGGGAAATTCAGACATCCGGGATAGCGATGGTCCTGAGCATCCCGGTTAATTGGTTCTCTACTGTACTAATTTATTTGTAAATTTTCTTTGTATTTTAGCTCACTATATTGGTCACAGCAGTAATGAAGTGATTTTCATTATTTTTAAAGCTCATATTATTGTCTTCAAAGGTGATCTTAATAAACAATATCAAAAAGTTTAATTTGGCCATGGTGGCTTTTAAAACAAAAGCATTTATGAAGGGATTCATAAAGCTGAAAAAGTAAAGAACTATTTAAAAGTTCACTAAGAAATTCATAGTTCAAAACTTATACAAGAATTAAAATCTTGTACATTTAAAAATTTGTACAGGCATAAACAGACAAGACTGTATATATTACTAGTTCAATAATAACAGGATTAACATTTTGATTCAAAAGGGATGACACAATGAAATGTGTTTGATTAAATTTATAGTAAAATTACTGAATTTTAAATTGTTCAAACATAATTTTTCTGCACAAAAAATTCTTTGTCTCAAATTTTATTTAATGAAAATGACAAGCAAAATGCTAATGTAAGTGTGATTAGAAATCTTTAAAAACGAGAGATCAAGTATAGTGAAAATATAGTTTGTCTATAGAAAGAACTTTCCTCGCCACAAAGTCTAAGGTCATCTGTTGTGATGGAAACAAGAGATAACCCATTTCAAAGAGGGGAGCTTCTCTCTCCCCATATTCTCTTTCTCTCGCTGATCTGAGCCAAAATCTGTCTTAAATATTGACCCAATGCCCCTACTTGAAATGGTTAAACCATAGTCACCGCCAGTATCCAAACCAATGGTTAGAGGAAGTTCATTCCACAGACATACTATAGTTGATACTAACAGCAAAAACAATACAAATCTATAAAATATAATATGTAAAAATACTTGCTGAAAACAGTACACTTTGGAGAACCTGATGGTTCAAATAGCTGAGAACATTAAACCATTGTTAAATAATTTGGAAGTAATGGATTAGTCATGTTTGAGGGCTATTTTGCCACATGCCATTTATGTTTCTTTAACTAACATAAAACATATTAAAGAAAACTAAAAAAGAAAAAAAAATTTTTGTAAAATTTTAACGAAAAATTTAGATTTTTCTGAGAAAAGTATTGATTAAATTTATTAGTTTTCATGGCATAACTTGTAAACAAAAATAATTTCTATGTTGGAAAATATTTGAAACTGAGAAAGAAAAATTGTCATCAAAAACTAAATTTATACTTATATCTCTAAATTAAAACTCATATGTTTTAATATTTTGGTATAAAGAAAAGGAAGACCAAGCTCATAGAAAAAATAAATTTGTTTACTTAATTTGTTTAAAAAAATATTTATTTGCTAAAATTTTTTTTATAATCAGGTTTTTTTTACCATATAAGATTTATTTCTCAATAAAAGTAGATCCATGAGTAAGCTAGGACAGAGCTTTACATTTAAAAATTTATTCAAAAATTAAAATCTGCATAAAAAGAATCATCAGTAACAGCATGGATGATTTTTTGGCTGACGGAAGGGAGGAAATATTGAAAGCAATGATAATTTCCATTCAGACATTTTAATGAGTAAAATAAATTATCTAAACTGTTCTAAAATTAGGATTTTGACAAGATTTATGATTTTTTTCTGTTTTCTAAGTAAAGTAATGATCTAGACAAGATGATAATAATAATGATATGAATAAGTGCAGTAACATAGTGTGGTGACAATATGTTGCTGCACTACAGATAGAGTGACTATATTGATTTCACAAACTGAATATGAAATCATTCTAGAAAATTAATATCTTTAAGTATTATTCTATTATACAAAAAAAGCGTGATATGTACACTAAGTTTATAAAAAGTTTTATTTTAGAAAAAAAAAAACAATAAAAGATGCAATAAAATTTACCCAAATCTTTATCAATGGCATGTATTTTACTAATTAAAGAACCAACTGGAACATCTTCGGCAATGGCAACAGTAAAAATTGGTTGGGTAAATGAAGGTGCATTATCATTTACATCTTCTAAATGTATTTCAATAGCACTTTTACATTCCCAGTCAGGATGTCCTCTATCTTGAACATGAGCAATTAAACTATAACGGGACTGTACTTCTCTGTCAAGATTTTTAATTGTTTTGATAATTCCTAAAAATAGAAAATTAGTTTTTAAAAACATAAAACAAAACTTAGCTGTCAAGATATATTTATTGTTTTAATAATTTCTCCTAACTAACTGGAAACTTCAAAACTTAAAACGCATCATAAATATAAAAATAAATTTAAAGTTTTATTACTCAAAAAAATGTTTTACAAAACAGATAAGTTATAAAATTAGTAAAATTTTATGAAGTACTTTCCATTTTTAAAAAAATAAGAATTGTTCTTAGATTTTATAAACAAAACTTAAAACAAATTATATATTGTAGTATTTTTCAAAAATAAATAAAAAGTGTTTTAAAAACTACAATATTTAATTCATTATTATTGGAACAACAAACAATATATATGATTATAATACAATTGATTATGATTATAGTTTGTAAACTAATACCTGTTGCTGAATCAATAACAAAATCCTTTGATCCCATACCAGTAAGACTATGAAGTTGTAAGGCGTTTTTACCATCATCTGCATCAGTTGCTTCAACAGTTAAAATGTAAGAGTATGGAGGAATTGCCTCAGAAATCCTTTCAAAGTATTTAGACTAAAAAAAAAAAATTGTTAATTAAATCATTTTGTAGATACATAATTAGGGTGATTTGAAACTCATGAGTAGAGTTTTAGAGGTTAGATGACATATATGAAAGATCATTTTTGCATAAAACTCAATTGAATAGTTTCTGAACCAAGAATTTCATCTTTTCGCGTAAGTTAATTATTTCAAAAATTTCCATTTACAATAAATAATATAAAACACTGAAAGTTTTTATAAGTTCGCAATCCTTCAACTCAGAAAGAATAATGCCTTACATACTAATATATACACATAAATTGATTCATGATTAAGCAAACACACACTGTTAAGTAGCAAGTTGTAGTAAAATAAATTATTAGAAATAATAGAAATTTTATTAACGAAGAATTTTGACTATGAATTAATTAGATATTACCTTTTATGATAAAAGATTTTGTTCAAATATTTAATATTTTTTTGCCAAAACCTTGCCTATTTTTAAATCATGTAAATAAAAAAATTTAAACCTGATAATTAGGTCATTCAGCTAAGAGCATTTCAAGAGATAAAATGAAAAATAATTTTGGTAATTTTAGCTCAGCACGAGGAAGATTGACAGACTTAATTTTTGAATAGATAAAGCAAAAAAAAAAAAAAAAAAAAAAAAAAAAAAAAAAAAAAAAAAAAAAAAAAAANAAAAAAAAAAAAAAAAAATACAACAATATTTTTAATTAGTTAGCATAAGTATTTACAATACAAAAATATTTAGATGAATAAGTGCAATAAAAAGAGAATAGAAATCTATTTAATTTGTACATAATAATTTTTAGAATATATTTTTTGTATCATTCAATATTTTTTCTTTTAAATTTTAAAACAATTGCATAACAAATTTAAGAAATGAAATAAAACAAAATGTATAGTTATCTTTTGCTTCAGAATTACTTTTCTACTGCACACTTGAGTTTAAATAAATCATTTAAACATATAAGTTTTAAAATTTTGCCGATAGATTCAGATTACAAATTGATTGCATCAATTAGCAGTTCTGATATCAGTTGGGTAGTATATGAACTTTCACTATAGATCAACTTTGACATATTGGTTTCTCTAAAATTGAATTAGACAGAGAAACTCCTTTCTCTAAAAAGATACTCAAATTTGCTTTTGCATAATATGAAAGCTTTATCATATTTAGCTTAATAATACACTACAAACTAAATAACTCTTTACACTTGGATAAACCTTTTTGAGGAGCATAGCTAAAATTGAAATTATCCCCACTCCATACTTTAAGGATTTCACATAATATTTCTAATCACATTTTAAGCTTGAAATTTTGAATGTTTTCTTTTCAACATCTTTACAGACTGTTAAATACAAGTTAACAAAGAATAACAGGTTCTGCTCTTTAACTCAGTGGTATTTACCTAGGAATTTTTCAGAAAGAATTCTTCAATTAAAAAAAATTCTTTGATTTCGTTACAGTGAAAATATTATTATTAATTATATGCAACTAAATGATATTATATATATATATATAATTTATCAGAAGCCAAACAAGTATCCCAAAACTATTCTTTTGACTGAAGCATTGTTTCTTTTACAATCTTTATGTCACACTAACATTCATAGAAAATTATAATTTCTGCTTGGTAACTTACTTTCATACAAATAGGAGGATTGTCATTTGTGTCCAATACATCAATCGCAACTTTGGTTTTTGAAACAAATAAACCATCAGTAACAAGAACTTCAAGAAGATAAGATGCAATATTTTCTCGATCTAAAAGTTTATTAATAAAAATTTCTCCATTCTCACGAATGTGGAACTGTCCTTGTTGGTTACCTTTAGTAATGTAAAAATCATTTTTACTTGGCTCAAAATCAGCATCTCTAATTTCTAGGGTTACTATTACAGTTCCAGGTACTGCATGTTCATAAATAGCAGCATCATAGTGTTGCCTTTCAAATTCTGGAGGATTATCATTGTAATCTTGTATTCGGAGCATGACTGTAGTTGAGGATGTTAGTTGTGGATGACCTTTATCTTTTGCAGTAACACTAAAGTTATACCATGATACTGTTTCATAGTCAAGGGAGGTTAATGTAGTGATCCAGCCTGTAGATGAGTCTAAACGAAAAACATTGGCAGTGTTACCAACATCTGACCCAAAGGAGTACACAACTTCACTATTAGTCCCAGAATCAGCATCTTTGGCAACCACTTTCAAAATACTAGTACCTTTTGCAATATTTTCAGCTATATTTAAAACATAAGGGTTAGATTCAAATGTAGGTCGATTATCATTTTCATCCATCACATTTATAGTTATATCACAAAAAGCAATCAAGGGAGGACTAAGACTAGTTTCAGCTTTCACTACAAGTTTATAAGTAGCAGTAGATTCTCTGTCTAAAGCAGAATTTAGAACTATTTTACCACTTTCTGAAATACTAAAAACAGACTGGTGAAGCTCAATTAGAGAATCTATTGGAGCAGGGACAAATCCATAATGTATGGGTTCAGCACTGCTTGCATTGAGAGTCGAAACAATGGTACCGATTGGTGACTTTTCAGACATAAAAAATTCATATTTTTGCTGTTCAAATTTTGGTAAGACAACATTACTCGAAACTATGATAACATTGACTGGAACTTCATTTTCTTGTGGAGGCACACCTCTGTCACGAGCTCGAATAAAAAACTGAAACGCTTGATTAACTGAAAAAAGAAACAAAAGCTGTTATAAGCAATTAAAGGTACAGATACATATACATAAAAATAATGTAATCATAGAAATGTGGAAGACATGAGTTATAATCTAATAATTCAATGGTTGAAAATCAATGTAGAATATTCTAGAAATTAAATTTTACTGAAAATATAATTTTAAAAAAAAGAGAAGTCCAATTTATACATTGTTATATGATATACAGTGTTTCTAAACTGATGGTCAGTTTTCTCTCCTATAATAAAAGGTGATATGCTAAGTAGAACGAAGAGTAGGCTATACTTTCCTCTGGTACAAGCAGGAAGCAGCTTTTTAAAATACTTAAAAGGAAAAAAAAAATATATAACTGCACTGCTTTTTCTTTTCACGTCTTAGATTTTAAATATCTAATCTTAAATACAATTGCTAATCTCTCTGCTTATTTACTTTGCAATAAGAAATACATTAAAATTTATTTAGTTAAATAACAAGGCAATTAAGTAATATATTTTAATCATTAAACAAATTAACTTTATCATTTATCTCAGTGATTCTTAAACCTTTAACAATGGCAGCTCTTCTCTTTAATCTCACTTGTTCAAGTTAATTAACATCAACCTTTTATTAAAAAATTTTGTGAAGTTCTTACACAAATGAGAGATCAGTGAAGTTGTTTTTATCTTGTTTTATTTTGATGTTTTCATCTTTTAATGGTTTCCAACACAACTGTTAATCTAAAAAAAGGAAGAATAATCCAACTGCATAAAGAATTACCAAGCTATTTGTAGGTATTAATTCAATCTTATTTAGAAGAAATGAGTAAAAAGTATTTCAATATCCTTTGAAGAATATAAAAATGGTGCTTCAAATCATCAGGGGAAGTTGAAGTTTGGTTAGACAACGTTATTTAAAATTAAAATTTTTAAGATAGTGAACTCATATAAAAACGTGAGAAAATTGTCATAGAGTAAGAAAATAACTGCCAAAAAATATTAGTTAAAATAAACCTTGAATGTACTACACAAATTGAAGTGTGTTTGATGAAAAATTATAAACAAATCTTTCTTTAAGTAAAATTCAACATACCAAACATGAATATATATACAATGAAAACTTAAATGTTTTGGAGAGAAAGGTTAATAACAAATATTTCGAAGACCGCAAGATCTGCATGGTCTGGAGTACTCAAGATCAATGTGAAGAATTACAGAATTTATCTCATTAGGGCATATATTGTTGAATAATTTTTTTATAGAATTAATTACTTCTTATATCTCATTTAAGGTTTAAATTAAATAAAATTTTGATCATTAAGGAGTAAAAAATATAAATGAATTTCTTAGCTGGATAAAAAAAATATGACATGACACTTTATAACAAAACAGATTGAAAACTAAAATTTTTACAAAATTTGACACTCTATTTGTCATCTTTAGATCACTTTATACTTGTTTAACTAATTATTATTCACCCTTTTTTAAAAAAATTCATTTTTTCTTTCTACTTGTCAAATTCTTTTCGAAATTTACATTAATTTTAAAGTCCCCGGGGTTCTACCTTGAGATCCAAAAAAGGCTTGTTTGTTTTATTTTCTGTGTTGCTTTTGTCTGTACAAAAATGTTTTAATATATAGTCGTCCCCACTTAATTGCTTTTTGGATAATCAAAATACCCACTTATACGAATAAAATTTAATGGAACCAAATAATTTTATTTAAAACTAATGTTAAATTTCCTTGTTTAAATGGATATTTGTTGTTTCCAGTCTTTGCTTAATTGCATAAAAAAGAGGTACTGAAATGAAATAATCTGTTTATTTTTTAAAATTTTTCACCAGCCAGAATGAAATTTTCAGTTAAGAAGGCAAGAATATAATAGGTGGTCACTTCAATAGGGACTTTTTGTTCATTTGTTGCTCTGAACAGGAGTATAGTTAAAGAATTAATCAAATCTTGCTGGCAGTTACACATTGAAGTGAATGAAGGAGATTTTACTCCTCTTTATTTACTTCACTCACACATAATTTAGAATGTAAAAAGGTACAGAATTATTTGTTTCAAAGTGAAGACTTATTGTCCCCTCTTGATGTACTATTAGGTTTGATAAGAAAAAGTTTCAAAAACCTAAAACACAAATGCACAGTGTGTCTTTCTCTAAAGTAGAATAATGTTTACTCCAATAAATACAAGATGCTCATGAAAAGGAGTGATTTGAAATAATTGAAAGAGAAAAGAAGTTTTGGAAGAAATAAATTTCAAAAATCCCAAACTGAAATAGCAAATTAATTTGGAATTTCTCAATTGAGGAATAGAAAAGAAAAAAAACTTAAATTATTCTAAAGGAATACGCAAGTCATAAAAGTCTTAGTAAAAAAAGAGAGGGAAAATCAAATTTTGATAAATTGAGAAATTAAACATATACAGTAGGGAACCGATTATCCGGAACGATCGGGACCATCGCTATTCCGGGTTTTCTGAATCGCTACAAAAAGCCGTTTTTTTATTGTTAAACCAAACTAAAAAAATTTTTTTTTGGAAATAATCTTAAAAAGAAGAAAAAACGATGGAGTAATACACTAATGATTATTTCCAAAAGGATGGTAAGGTGAACATCTTTCAAAAAAGAACGAAAAATCCTAAAATCTTATGAGGAAAAAAAAAATTTTTTTTTAAAAGGCGGTAAAAATGTATCGAATTTCATTCCGGTTTTTTGGTTTTCCGGTTTTCTGATTTCCGGATAACGGGTTCTGTACTGTACTTCAAATACAGATTTTTTTTAAAGGAACAAAATAATAATATACATAGTACCTGTATTATTTTCTTCATTAGCATAGATTTATTTTTAAAAAAACTTTAAATGACATTCATATTTTATAATACTAACACAGACAGTTTAAATTATAATTGTTTATTCATCATAAAATTGAGTTTATTTATAAAACAAAGCACTATATTAAATACAGTTAAAAAGTTAAATTTCTTAAAAATTAAGCATTTAAAATTGAATAAGGCCCTCCCTTTTTAATTGAATAACCTGCTTCATTGAATAGTGTTTGCTGGAACAAATGGTATTTCTTTAAGTGGGGTTGACTGTATATGTATAGATTAAAAAAAAAAAAGAAGCAAAAAATGAATAATGGATGCTACTCGAATAAGGAATAAGCTTTTTTTTTAATGTAAAAATGCAGATTTATAATGCAACAATCATTTCAAAATATGATTGATATTAGAATAATTCAGAATTATAGAATAAATTCTAACAAATAAAGATAGAAACAATAAAAAATCATACCAAGCTGAGAAACACTTTTTTTCAAGTAAACTTCTCCTAAATCTTTGGACACGCCAAACAAGTCAGTAATAGTTGAGGCATTGTTTGAGTAGATACTATATTCAATTGATGAAGCATGCATATCCTCGTCATCATCAATAGCATGCACCTAATTCAAATGATTGCATTTAATTTAATACAGATTTCTCATAAAAGAGGAACATACAAAAATTCTAATTCCTTTTTAAAATGTTTCATTGACAATGTAGAAAGTATACCTCTAAATGTATTCGTTAACCTTCTCCTTTCTCAGTATTGTGGCGAATGCGTGAAATAGACATTATCGCTAAACTGACCAATTGTTAAAAATAAAGTAACCCTAAAGAGCAGAACAACAGAACAGTGTGGCAGTGTAAGTTGATAAAATATAGATTTGCTTTCCTTTAAGAATGTGTTATTTGTGAGAAAAGCAAAATATTCAGAACTTTACTCATTTAAATCTATTAAGACAATTTAATTTGGATAGTAAAAAAAGCATCTACATAACATGGTGTTTTCTCCTTACATATTAATTTCTCACTGAATAACACAAACTGCAAAATTTGGAATATTTAAGAAATAAAAATAGCCTATATTAAATGATTTGAGTAATAGCTAAATTTGATATCCAAGAAAACTTTTTAAATGTATAAATATCACAGTACAGCTTTAATGCTTTGTTTGTTAATAATTTGAATTTTGCAATTAGTTATTGTTAATAGTTTAAACACTATTGGTGTTTAAATTAGTGTTTGTGACAAACAATCTAGTCTTTTTAGACTATAGTTGATCTCATTGTCAAATGCAACGTAAAAAAAAAAATTAAATTTCCCTCAGATTTTTAAAAGTAAACTAAAATAGTGATATCATAGTTTTATAAGTAATGCCATTAAGTTTATCCAAAGAAAGAGAAAAATGTAGTACAGATTAATACTATTTAGTTGATTCATAAATATCATTTTTACTGAAAGTCGCTAGAAGAAAGCTGAATTAAAAACATAAGATGTCTTCATATGTGAGAAAGATGCTTCTTGTTTATTTGATTTATATGGTCAAAGGCAAAGAGCTACAATACAAAAAACTAAACAATTGCATCTATGATAATTTTACCGTTTAATTAAAATTAAGATTTATTAATAGATTTATTGCCAGAAGTTATGAATGACTCAGTCTAATAAATGTATTGTTTGCCATTATAAATTAAATTATTTATATTAGTAATTTATATCTAATATCAGAATAATACAAACCTGTAGAACTGTAGTTCCAATAGTTGTGTTTTCATATACATAAGCTCTATATTCAGCAACAGCAAATAGAGGGGCATTATCATTGTCATTTGTAACAGAAATGCGTACAGTAGAGTATCCAGGCCTTCCTCCACCATCAAATGCTGCTATAGGTACTTCATACAATTTATGTCGTTCTCTATCAAAACTTATTCTGGCATAAAGTACCCCTAAAATATATACAGTTTACATCGTTTTTTAAATATTTTAGCATGTTTAATAAGCACTTAGTATAAATAAAAATGGACAGTAACTACTATTGGTTTAAAATTTATTTTTTGCACTTACCAGTTTCAGGATCGATCATAAATATTTTATTATAAACTTGACTTTCGATGCTATAAGTTATTTTCCCATATTCACCACGATCAGTGTCTGCAGCCTTCACTGTAGTAATAGGAGCACCTGGTGGTAAATTCTCTTTAACAGCAACTTCATAAACAGTACGAGTAAAAATTGGGGAATTATTGTTTTCACTCAATATATTGACTTTAACTTTAGCATAGCCAGAATACACTCCATCAGTAACAGAAACATTCAAGAGATACATAGACTGGTTATTAAATTGATGTAGATTTGAAAGAGTAATAATACCTATAAATAAAAAGGAGCCATATTAAAAAAAAACACATATAGCAAGTAAAACAAAGATTTTTTAACTTTCATAATATCTGTTTAATGACATTACTAGATAACAAACAGTGTGATGGACTTTTATCTAAACAAAATTTGTTTATTAATCAAATGAATTTTTTGAAGTTATTCACGACTGCTTGAATGTTTTAAAACTAATTCTTTTGAAAAATTAATTATTTCTTATGTGCAAAAACATTGAGAAAACAGAGATACAAACTTAAAAAATTATTTACAAAATTAAGAGCACAACAACTTTATCTGTTAAATCAAACTAGATTTTAAGTCCAAATACTCAATAATTGCATCACTGATAGTTGAATATTAAAACAGAGGGTGGATTTAAAATCTGGTTATACTTTTAGACAGAGGTTACAAATGCATACTTGGAAATATTGTACACTTTACAAATTTTTCTTCATTTATAATACTGTAGAAATCAAGGGGTAAGAGTATATTATGATTATCCTCAATCTGTGCTACCTTTTGCTTTAAACGAATATATAAGCATAATTGGATTACTTTGAACGACTCAACCTTATTAGCAGTTAAATAAAAAAAAGGTAGGAGAATTTAATTTTTCCAATACTTGAAAAAAAAACTATTTTAAACTCAGAAAAGATAGAACATAAATGGTACATGTTATTGCATTATATGAGGGAAAATTAAATAATATAATAAAAAATTGATTCTTTAAAACAAAAGATATCTGATTTGTAGAGTCTTTTTAATGTCTTAGGTATAAATTAGGGGAGAACAACTTTTTTGAAAGAAAGGCCATTTGCACAGCAGGTTGACCAATGAAGGGCTGCATAACCATTTATTTAGACATGTTAATAGCAATCATGAAAAAATGTATTAATCCTTTTTATCAATTAACTTAGTTGCATAAAATCAAACAAAAAAAAACATTATTGAGAAATATAAATGTAAATTTAATACTTTAATTAAAGAAATTTAGAGGGTTTAAAATTGTTCAAACTAAAACAAAATCATTAAAGCACAAATAAGATTCAACATTTATTTGGGAAAATACTTCAACTCTAGAACATTATATTTAGTGAATTATACAAGATTTTATGAATGATAAGTATTAAATGCTTAAGCACTTTTTAAGATACAAAAATCAGAAACAAAATTAAAAACAGTAAACTGTTAAAAATTTCTGTATAGCAACATTTATTTGACTTTTGCTTGTTCTAACATTGTTGTATTAAAAATATCAGGTTTTGAAAAACCGTGTGGAAATGCATGGTGCCAACTGCCAGAAATGAAATTTTTACAAATAAAGTACATCAAAATGTGATTCAGCGGATATCAATTAAAAATGTCCTAACTATATAAAGTTAAAAATATTGGAATTTCAACACTATGTGAAGTTGCCAAAAAAGAAAAACAAGCAAAAGATCACTCTGATTTACTGTATGAATAATCAAAAATTGATAAAATAATTATTCAAATGTAAGATTCAAAACTCGCCAGTGGTAAAAATATCTTACTAAAAATATCAGAATTTTAAAATCCTTGTGAAAATCCATATCAATAGCAGCCAAAGAAAAAAAAATGACTCAGTTGGAGTTACAATGAAATCAGCCCAAATAAGAGGCTTCAAAAAGTGATTATAAAAGTGAATTTGAAATTTATGTCTTGTAATGATATTGTATAGTAAAAAAATATTTACATTTTTAAAATCATGTGCAAATTTGTAGAAATAATTACCAAAAAAGAGCCCTAAGAACCTGCTAAATTTATGATAGAGTCAGCACAAATTGAGTGAGTCAAAAAGTGAGAATTTAAATGCAATATTCAAATTTTTTCTTAATTTTTAAAAAAGTTTTTTTTTTTTTTAATAATAATTTTTTTATTAAGATCAGGTGCTGCTGCAGGCTGAACATGAACAGCTTGCCTGCTGCATGTGCCCTAGCATGCAACTAAATTATGTGTGCCCCTAGCATACAACTATAATATATATGTATTTTTTAACAATGACAGATTAACTTACCCGTTATTGAATTTATAGCAAATGCTTGCTGTTCATTACCACCAACTATCGAATATACCAGTTTGGACTGATCAGACTCATCAGGGTCTGAAGCAATTACTCTAGTCACAAATTGACCTCGTTGTGCACTTTCACTGATCATACAATCATAGTCATAATATTCAAATTTTGGTGGATTGTCATTCATGTCAATAACATCAATGTGGATAGTAGTAGTTGCACTTAGACCAGGTGAACCACTGTCTGTAGCCATGACAAGAAAATCATGAGAATCCTAAAAAGAATAAAGCAGAAATTATTTATGCTCCTCAAAATTTAGCTATGCTCTGCAAAAGTTATTTAAAAATTTTAAAACTTTTAAAAAGAAAAAGTATAAAAAAAAAACCATTAGCAAAAACCATTATGTTGTTAATTATTTTGACTTTATGATGATTTAATTTTAGATTATAATAAGTAAGTTCATAAATTTTCTAACCATAAATTAGGTCAAAAATTTTAAAAACTTAAAATTATTTTTTGGGATTTAGAAAATATTATTAATTTTAATTAAAACAAACTACATTTTGAGTGAAATAAAGCTATCAGTGCAATGAAAATATTATTTCCCCAAATATAGTGAAATATAGTATTATAGTTATAGCTTGTAGGTACCTGTCTTTCTCTATCTAAAGACTGTTTGATGAAAACAATTCCTTCAGATGATTCAACATGAAAAAAAGTAGTGGCATTTCCAATAATGAAATATTGAACTCTTTGATTGTTTCCTGAATCACGATCTGTAGCATTTACACGAAGAATAGATGTACCAAAAGGAACTGCTTCAGAAACAGATGCTGAATAATGAGAATTTTCAAAAACAGGTGGATTATCATTTACATCTTCAATATTGATATGCACTAACACATCTGCATATGCTCCAGAAACAGAATCTGTAGCTCTAATAGTTAAATGGTAATACTGAGTGGTTTCAAAGTCTAATTCTTCTACCACATAGATGATGCCTAATATGAATGAAAGAAAAGAAAAATACAAACATTAAAAATACAATAGCTTCAACAATTTTACAGGAAGATAAACACTTTACTCAATTTACTTACACTTGACATACATCTGAATTGTACCATAATTTCCTATGTATAATACTCAGACTACCTGCTAAAGAAACTAACAGCTGATGATCTGTCACCCGGGCCATCAGACATAGCAAATTTTTTAATGAATTTCATCTGTTATAAAAGTGTGAGGGACCATTCACAGTGGATGGGAAAAATTCATATAAGCGAACTCGGAAATGCGAACGAGAATCTTATTAGTTAAATATATTTACCCGCAAAAAACTCATCAACCAGGTTCTTGTTCCCATTTCCAAACTCACATTCGTGATTTTTTCGCATCCATTTGTGAATGCCCCTTAAATGTGCTTGTGTGCCTGCTTAATTGTCTATCTACCGATTCCTATTGGCTCATATATAACATAGATTCGCTCACATATGTTGTAGATTCTATAGCCAATATAGCCAACAAATTGAAATGTTATAATAAATGAAAATTTTGTTCTTGAAGATTCATAGTTCAGAAAGTAGATACATCTAACTTTCTGTATCTAGGTAAGAAAAATAAGCTCACTGGTGATTACTTTGAAAAGTGTTTCAGATTGGTATTTTCCACAAACAATTTTTACTGGGTCAATTTTCCCATTTCATTTTACAAAGAGGCACTGTCAGTGTCACATATTGCAAAAAAAGAGAAATTGACTGACCACACTCAAAGGTACTATCAAAGAGAGTGAGTCATAAGTGGTTGATTTTTAGGTTGGAATGTAGATAATGAAGCAACGAAAAAAGATCAACTTTTGCCTTTGTCAACATAGTTATGCAAGCAAACTTTCTGTGCTATGATAACAATATAAGAAACAATGAATAGACTCAATTTCATAAGCAATAAACACTTTTAGTAGTCAACTACAAGTCTGGTATCAATTATTTGTATTTAAGTACAACTTATATATTTTACATTACTCAATTCTCTATTGATGTATTTTTATTTTTAGATTTTCATAAAACTTCATTCTACTATGATGTAAACTATGAATATTATCTTTTAATAGATGAGTAATAAAAATTAACCGGATGAGTAAAAAATATTTTCCACCTTAAATAATTTCCACCTAAACCATGAAGTGAATGCTTTATTCCAGCTTAAAAAATTTAAAACAAGATTAAAAATTTAATATTCTATTTGAAGTTAGGATGTTGATATTCTGGACACTTGATAAAAACAAAATCTATTAAATATTATTTCTTTATTTAGTGGCTTTTGTACCAAAAGAATAACAGATCAACAGTAATGGAGTGAATTAAAAACAAGTATCTTTGAATTAGTTGCATATTTCATTAACCTTCTGAATATTAGTTTCCTTTTTGATAATGAAAAACTGGTTTCACAAGAGAAATCTCATTAAAAAAGAAAAAAAGTTAGTGACTCCGAAAATTTAATACAATTTTGCCCGGAGTTGTGAGGTTTGGAGGGTAAATAGTTCTGCCAAAAATAGAGGGCCTTGATTTTTGTGAGATATTGAATTATTTTGCAAGAAGTAGTGTTAAAATCCAAACATTTATAAAAATAATTATATAAAGTGTTATGCATATAGTACTTTAATCGTAACTTTAAGTGTCGAATAATCTCTGAATATATATATATATATAAACTATTAATAAATATTTTAGTGCCTAAAACATTTATAAAAATTAGATTATTAGTAAGAAAAATACACAAAGTGTTTTTTACTTAAAAAGTTTCATTATTATAATTAAAACTTTTCTAAATATTTGACAGTTTATTTTGCTTCATTAGAAGAATAGAAAACAACAAAACAATTTTTAAAATTAGACAATTAAAAAATTTAAGGTAAAAAATTCATTATGAAACTTATTAAAACAAACAACAATTTCAAACAGCAGCATGCGACAGAGTGCAAAGATAAACGAAAAAGTGAGAAAGACATGTTAAGAAGTATTAATGTGAACATCATAGTCTAACATTCGCTTAATTCATTTTCCTATTAATAAATTGTGTTAAAATATAAGTACACCCTTTACAATATAATTTAAGAGTATAGATGAAGTGTGAAATGGAGAGGCATGTACAATAAAAATAAATAAATGATTGGACTGGATAAAATGACATATTAGCTTTATGAAACAAAATCCAAGTAGGGCATGCTTAAAAAAGGAATCGCCTTATTCTGCACAATAGAACATTAGTTACTTATTTCAAAACGTAGAATTGGGATAACCATTTAGGGCTAATATTTTCTATTTAATAAAAGAAGCTCAAGTCTATGAAAACAAATCATTTTGAAATAACAAGCAATAGTATAATTTTATGTAAAAATATTAAAAAGTATACAACATTTATTAACTACACATGTTATTAGAAATTCAGAGAGTTTTTAGAAATTTATAATTCAATTATTTCTAATATATAAACAGAAAATTTTATGAGTGGGACTTAATTGATTATGGCATGTACATATATCAAGTTATCCATTAAATTATATCCATTAATTATAGTTATAATAAATTATAATTACTCCTTATAACTACAATTTATATATTATTCATTATTATATTACAGTTATTCATTAATTATAGTTATCCATTAAATTATTTTTAAGTATAGCAAATGTTAATAATTCTTTGTATGCTAGTTTGAAATAAATGTTTCTTTCTCTTCCAGAATGCAGTATTAAATACAGAGTTATAAATAGTCTTTTATTGATGTTTTATAAAATATTATTTCATATTATTATAAATTAGTTTTCAAGTGTTATGCCAAACATATTTTCAAATTTTTATGCTTTTCCTGCAAATACTTTCAACCATCTAAAATTCATGCTTCTCACAAATAAAGTTCTTTAATTTAATTTAATTTTGAAGGTTATTTCCTTTATCATATTCTTAATAAGTATATCTTTTTAAAAAAAATATATTTTTAGAATCTTGATCTTTAAAATATAGAGGGCACCAATAATTAAAAAAATGCAAGCTCAATAGTTTGAACCCCTTAATGTTGTCTTTCCATTTAAAGTACACCAATTGTCGCCAGTATCTAGAGTAAATTGAACTAAACTCAAGAATCAATTGTCATATAAATTTTTTTTCCACATAATTATAGAACTTTTACATTAAAAAAAATTCAAGTAAAAATAAATAAATAATAATATGTTACACAATTTAATAATGGGTGAAAAATTCTGAAACTAACGATTTAAGTAATTAATATTATACAATAAAAAGTTGCATGTTTAAATTATTTTCTTTTAAAAACAATTTAAATGATCTATGAATTTTGGAACTATAATTTAAAATTATCAACTTAACTATGACACACAAAGGTACTAAAGCAAAGATGTAGTTGTTGAAAATTCTATAGTAAAATATCCAAATAATAGTTCTCAGCGAGACTATATGATTTGATTTACTAAAATACTGAAACATGACCACTTTCATCCTAAATGTAATTAATTTGAGCTTTTCTGTTTCAGTTATCTCTACCAGTATTTAGAACTCAACGGAAAAAAATAATTCATAAAACATTAGTTAGATGCATACACAAGTTATTACTTTTGCGCACATGAATTACTCATGCGCAAATGATTTGCCCTAATTGTATAAAATGAAAGCTAACAAATGATGCATCAGGAATTACTGCCCCCTATGAATGCTGGGACAAGATTCATGTAGAACACCCATGCAGGTTAACTGTGGTTCACAGAATTTAACTGCCAAATTGTATCTATGAATGACTTCTGTAGGAATGTTTAAAAATTGTTCTGACTGGAATGCAATGACTGCTGAAGGAATATGATTTAGTAATGGTCAATTGAAATTATAGCAAATTAAAGATAAAAAAGTTGATTAGATACATCATGAAAGTAAATTAACGCTAGCAATAGGTGGAGGTTGTTTAGAAATTTGTGTTCAGAGGTTCTCTCTCATGTAAATCCTACGAGAGATGTTTGGTTACATAAATACATAGTCATTCTTCAAAGGTTGTCATTGTTTAGAGGTGATAATTAAAGAAGGTTTGATAATATCTTTTTGCAAGAAATTATTTTCGGTAATTATTTGTAATTGGCATTTTCAAATAATTGTGCTACAGTGCTTGCTAAAAATGAAATTTTTGGAAAAATTTAATAAAAAGAATTCCTTTAGATGGTTTTGCAAAAAATATAGTTATCTATCTCCATAAATTTCTCAATCTTTGCACTATGGTTTGAATTCCCAAATTAATAAAGGATTACTTTAGAAACACTTCTTCAATATATAATATCTTAAACATATTCACATATCTGATTGTATCTTAACATTTACGTAAACAAACATGCCTTTTTCCTCGCAAATTTGAATGGTAAGATAATAATTTTAGTTTGTAAGTATACTTTCTTAAAATTAAGTTGTAGTTTAAAATTTGGAAAATAATTAACTTTAGTGTCCCACAGGAACTAGAGTTCTTACAGTAGCTAAAATTCAGCCTTTATTTTACAAAAGCTAGTGCAATCCTATTTTAGTCAACTTAGACTCTTACTATGACTTGAACTTTCTGAATAGTAAAATATAAAAACTAATTCTAAACATTGAGCCAAATTTGACAAAGAAATGAGGTTGTGAAAAAAAATTAAAACAGTTTCAATTCAAAAAGTTGATAAGTAAACAAACATAAAATAAAATATAGAAACTCAGGACATGTATAACAGAAATGCATTTTAATACATATATACAAAAATATAATATCCAAAACAAAAGTTTTCAGGTTTAGAAGTTAATATTTTCAAGTACAGTTCTACCAGAGATAATTAGAATCTTGGCAGATGGCCAATAAAAGCATATCTAAAAACAACAATCATTTAGGGGTGAAGGGAGGAGATTACAGTGGAAGAGGTTTTGAGGCAACAAATATAAGGCCTGCATGTAACTTTTTGACTTGTATTCCTAACAGTTTATCCACTTATCTGTTCCTTTCTCTAAGGTGGGTTTGTAATGTTCCTCATAATCTATGAGAGAACTGTACAAGTAAAATTACTGATACTAATGTATTTTAAAAAAAGGAGGCAGAGTTTTGATTAACAAGTTATTTATTAGCCTTATCGCATTTTAAGGAAAAGTTAGTATCGTTCAGAAGTCTCCAACATAGAAGAATTAAAGCATAAACTGAATAGAGAGAGAAGGGTTAGTGAACATATAGAGTAGTATAATATTTATTTGGGTCAGCAGGATAGTGCAGAAATGTAGGATGAGTGAAAGTCTAGAAAATACTTTAAAAAAATCAGACCAAAAATAAAAGTACTCACATGGCCCATTGCTATAACCAGGGTCTAAATGGTGAAAGATTATAAAAAAGAACGTTAATTTATGATCATACATGCTTAAAAATAATAAACTATAAAACCTGATTTATGTTCATTAAAAGTTAAAGAAAGAAATTAATCATATTAAATGAAACAAAATAACATTAAAACAAATATACATAAATAAAAAAAAGCTCAAAATGAAAGCTAATGACAAAAATAAAAAATATTTTTTGCTTTATGAGAACCAATTAAATGATATTATCTTCATAAAATAATAATTTATTTAAAATATATAATAAAATTTTAAATTGCCACAAAAATTGAAAAACTTATTAAACAAATGCATATGTTCTACAAGAAAAGGGAAGGAAGCAAACAAAATTAACATCAACGAAGAAACTTGCACATTTATTACTTTACTTTAAATTATAAATAATCACTGTGTGGAAAAAATTAACTTAATCCAAATAAATAATAATAAAAGGGTGCATGAAAAATAGTCTTATTAATGTCATAAACACGATTATCAGTAGAGCTTGCAGAAAAAAGAAATCTAGAGGAAAAAAATGTTGCAAAACACAATGTTGTATTTTAAGTAAGAGAATTTATGTACGTTGACACAAAATATATTTTGGAAGATGTTTAAAGTGTTTTCTTCACAATACAACTGCTTGCACAAAAGCTTTGCACAATAAAGTGAAGTAAAATGTTTCTCAATGATATAAAATACAAAATACTGCATAGAAAAGATTAAAAAATTTTTTTAAACAGTTGGTTGATTTTATAATTAAATATTTATTTAATTTTCTTTATTAAAATAAGAAGAAATGAAAACTGTAAAATTAAAAATAAGTAAGTTATTATTTTTTAGCTGTATAAAATTAAAGACATTATATAACTTTAAATAAAATGAGATTTGATTTGAAAAATTATATATTTTTTCTTTAATAATTAGGAAAGTTACTTTATATAGCATAATCTAGAAAATGTAATATTTAAACACCTAGAAAAAAGAAAGATTTAAAAGTTTTCTTTTTGTCTAAATTAAGTATTTACACTCAAATAGCGACTAAAAGAAGAAAAGCCATAGAAATTAATCCTTCTGTAATGTAAACATAATGGAAGTAATTTGTAGTAACAAATATTAGAAATATAAAAAAAAAATTTCTTGGAAAATATTAAAGCCAACAACTACATTCCATGAAAATTTTTTAAAACGAATTGTAGCTTTTCTTAAAACTACAAACTAAGAAAAGACACACATGACATTCACATTTTGTTTATGTTAATGAAATTTTTTTTTGATGTGTAAATATTTCTAATATGCATTAACATTACCTACCAGTAGTAAAATTTACACCAAAATCTTCATGAGTATTTCCATCAACAATACTGTATATCAATTGTCGTCCTTCAGGACTGTCAGCCAGCACAGTAAGAACAGCTGATTTAGAACGTAATGATTCCACAACTGATATATTATAATATTGTTTGGGAAACACTGGCATATCTCTATTGATAAGGCGAATTGGTACATCTACAGTGCTCTTCATGGGTGGGTTGCCTGTAATTTACAAAAACAAAATTTCAAAAAACCATTGCAATGGATTTTACAAAAAATCTTCAGGAATTTGTCAATTGGTTCAGCTTTTAAAATAATCATATGATTTTTAAAATATTTCAAAGAACTGCAGTGGTTTTATGAATGAAATTATAATAATTTAAAATACATCAATAATTATTATAGGGAGGGTTATACTAGTGGGATGGCTAACTGGCTGATCCCCCAGGAAAGCAAAAAATCAATTTATTCAAGCAGATCATTAAAGTTGTTAAAATTTTAAAATCGGTACACATTGTTTTATTTGATTTTTTTAAAATTTCACATTGCTACCATATAATTTAAAATGTAACTGCGTTTTTTAATGTTACAAATTTATAAGTTTGCAATATTTTATACTTGTAATTGCAATTCATATAATTTCCTTCTTCAAAATTTACTGTGTTAAATAAATGAAAAATGCAACCAATAGGCTGTGGTTCATCCAGGGCAACTAAAACCTTATGCACAGCTCTGATTATAAGGAAAAAAAATCTAACCCGCTGTCACCATAAAAAAAGTTGTTTCATAATAACTTGAACTCAATAAATTTGAATAAGTATACACCAACAATTATAGTAGCCTTAAAAATGATCTTATTTTAAACCATTGCTTAAACATGGAGAGTTGTATGATATTGTTCTTTATATGTACAGTTTCCTAATTGAACAAGAAAAGGCAAATTAGTTTTGTTCGTTGAGGTTTATCTGAAAAAAAGAATTAACAGTTGAAGTGTTAAATATGATACAGAAACTTTTTTTTTAAACATAGTTCGAATGATTAGTTATTAACATGAAAAATACTTTAATATGTTAGTACCTCCATCAATAGCAGCAACAACTATCTCATGGTCAAGATTTTGTGATCCCACTGGTTTTAACAGAATAATTTCCCCACTATTCCTATCAACTTTGAAAGTTTTATTGTCACCTTCTACAAGCTCATAATGCACTTTACTATTTTCTCCAAGGTCTAAATCAATGGCATGAACCTATAAAAGTTACAAACAATTAATTATAGATTTATTTCTAAATTAAATGAACTTCTCTTTTGAGATATAACAAAACTAAAAAAAAAGAAGGAAAAAAAAGAGATAATTTAGTTAAAATGGTCGATATTAAGTTAATGCTCTGAACAGTGCCGTTCCTGGCGGGTATGCAGCGAATGCCCCGCACACAGGCGCCCAATTTAAGGGGCGCCAAATTCAACTATTCCTGTCAAAGACTCTCGCAATACCTCAGACTCACCCATAGATATTCTGAATTATATAACCAAGAAAAATTTGCAGTCTTTGTTTCCAAACCTGTGTATAGCATTAAGGATATTTTTGACGCTGCCGATTTCTGTTGCGTCTGGCGAAAGGAGTTTTTCAAAGCTAAAACTTGTAAAATCTTATTTGAGAACTTCGATGTGCCAGGAAAGGCTTTCAGATTTAACTGTTATTTCAATCGAAAATAAAATATGTGAAGTCATCGATCACAATGAAATGATCAATGAGCTTGCATCTGCAAAAGCAAGACATGTTATGTTCTAAAGCTACCTTGTTATTTGATAATTAGGTACTTAGGTATTAGACAGATCTTGCACATTTTCAAGTTAACGGATTTGTTGGCGTTGAGCGCCGTTTGAGAGTTTTAACTCAATTCACTCAGTTGAGTGAATTGAGTTATATTAGATTTTTTGTTAATTTCCGAATGGACGTGTTTTATTTATGACCTATATTGTACGTTAATAGTCTATTTTATTTGATGTAAAAAATAAATTTTTTGTCATATTTTTTCGTTGTTTTATTTTATTACGCCCATTTTCATAATCAAACACTTACACTAAAGTGACTTTAGTCTATAAGGAAACTATTAAGTTTAAACCTCAAACTAAAAATGATTATGAAAATTTGGCCTTATCATCAAAATTTAAGCATAGTATATAGGGGCGCACAAAATTACCCCACCCCAGGAACGGCGCTGGCTCTGAATCTTAGATGAAAAATCGTAAATACTTTATTAAATATAATTACGAGAATGAAATGAACAGCTAAAAAATTCTCTTTGAGAGCTTTTCTGGTTAGTTGATACAAATGTTTTAATAAACAAAAGCTATCAAATTGCAGGGTATTGTTTTTAAAATCTTGTAATATAAAACTTAATAAAACATGCGAAAAATAGCAACAAATAAATAATAATAGCAATAATTTTGTGCTATTTAAGTCATATAAAATAATAATTAAAAAAATCAGCTATAAAATAAATTTGATCAGCTTAAATGAATTTTATCATGAAAAATTATAATTTTTATTTTTTTATCTACTAATCACAAATGCAACATAGAATATGTGAAGGCTGTTCTACATTAATGTACTCAAAATGTTTGAAAAAAAAACTGGTTCACTAGTTTCATTCAAAGTATTTCAATACTCAAAACAAGCAAAAATAAATAAATTACCTTGCGAACAATATAACCCTTTTGAGCTTCCATTGGTACAACTGAATAATATGGCAAGTTCACAAAAATAGGAGGATTATCATTCACATCAGTGATGGTAACTTCAACTAAAATATGAGCTATTTGTACTGGGTTTGTTAATTCACTTTTTACTTCAACAACTAGAGTAAAAAAATTCTGTGTTTCACGATCAAATGGTATTCCTTTAGTTCTCACAACACCTGAAGTTGATCCTACTTCAAACATTTCAGAAGGATTCAATATTTTAAAACTCAAATGTTCATTGAGAGATGAACCTATAACTGTTATAACAGCAACTGTAACAACTTTTGCAGAATTCTCCTCAACTTTAGCAGTATATTTTGGTTTGCTGAAACGAAGTGAGCTTCTTCGAGATTCTTTTACTTTTATCGACACTTTAGAACTGGCTTCATATTCACTATCACTAGCTGAGACTACAAGTTGATATTCTTCATTCATATCTTCAGGACTTTTAACAACTATTTCTCCAGTATCCTCATCAATTGCAAATTTTTCCCCATAATTTCCTGAGACAATATTATACTTAATTGAGGTAGTTGCAACAGTATCAGGATCTGTTGCTTTCACAGTTATGACTACTACACCTTGATGAGTTGGTAAAAGAACAGTAGCTGCATAAGAAGGATGTTCAAATTGAGGAGGGCAGTCATTAATATCAGCTATATATATAGTCACTGTGGCAGGAATTATAGCACTAAGATGAGGTTTTCCCATGTCAGTTACTTGAACAGTAAAAGTAAAATTGGAAAATTTTTCATGATCTAAGACTTGAGATGTACTGATTGCACCTATAAAAATTATTGTAGGTTTATAACAAAAAACCAACAAAAAAAAGGTTAAAGCATAAAATATAGAATAACAAAGGAATTGTAAAACTGATGTAAGGGTTGTTGGGCAGCAATTTAAATTCCTTATATGAATTACAGGTATAATAGATTAAAATGAGGCATACATTTTTTAAAGAATAAAATTATAAAGCAAGCTATAATACAAGCTATAAATATAATACATCAAGAATAGATAAAAAAGTATATAAAGAAATCGCATATTTAAAATTCGATTTTTCAGGAACTAAAATTCGTTAAAATTTTGTATTTTCATGAAAAATTACGTACTTTAAAATGACAAAAAAAATTTTATACCTCACAACTCAAAATTTCTTTCACTATAATTAAAATAACATAATAATAAAGAATATTTACGAAAATTTATTTTTTGCATGGAATTATCTTTGGATAAATGAATTTTAAGTCAAAATTTGACAAAATCGATATAATAGTTCCTCAGGAATTGAGTATTTTACCTTATGTGTTCATTATATTTACTGTTGTTTATATTTTACCTTATAAAATTGCATTCATTAAAACGATGTAAAAATTTGTATAACTTACAATAAAATTTTTTTACTATTATTAAATAAAGTAATAAAAAATTATTTCTAGAATGGAATCTGTGCCAAATTTTTTCGATTAGCACAACAAATTCTTACGATAAAGAGAAATACGCAAAATGCAAAATTGTGTCCAAATTTTGGAATGATTTCCTGACCAAGCTATTGGGACCATATTAGCCAGATTGCAGCTACTCCCTATAATCTGGAGGTAAAAAATTATAATCCACCAAAAAAAAGTATGTTTATTCAGAGAAAGCATGTCTTTGTGTCTGATTTCGTAACTTAACCCACTGACGGTTCTGCACGTAAAATATCGTATTTTAACCACCAGTCTTCTCCGCACAGCAAAACCGGTTTTCCCACGTTATTAGATAGAAAAGTGGTGTATTGGGGAGAAACATTTTCCCAATTTTGCCCATTCGCTAAACCGCCAGGGGGTTAATAATCATCTGCACTAATTAATTAGCATGTTTGAGGTCACCCCTGGAACAATTATGATTGAGTCCTAGTATGTGAAAATCTGATCATTAGAAAACAAAAGTTATCAAAAGTCATTCAGGGAAATTCTTTTTTTTTGTGTACCATATTTTTATTTATAATTACTTCAAATTTATAATAGCTAATAATTATTTTCTACACCAAAATTTTGCATTTTTGACAAATGTAAAAAACTATGACAAAAAGGATTTTTTGATATGATAACAATGGTAAAAACTGGATAAAACAGTCAATTGTTAAAAATTTGCTAATCCTGGAATTCTATGAGAAATTTTTTTGATGAATACATTTTAAAACTTATTGTTAATGCAAGAACATAATTTACCATGTATGAAAAAATTTAATTATTTTTAAAGCTTGTCTACATTCAATATTGCAATTTCTTGAAAGATTATATCAACAAAATGAATGAAACTTATTTAGTGCTAGATTCTTTACAGATTGTACAATTATGTGATACTAACGTCATATTCACAACATAATTTTATAGAATGCTCCATTGAGTTAAATTATTTCATATGTGCTGCAAACATGTCAAGAACTTGTTAATTTAGAGAAAGATTGGATTTTTTGTTTTAAATAAGGATAATTAAAAATAATAGTAATAAATTTTACGCAAATAGGTCTTTAAAATGTTTAATGATAATTTTTATAAAAAATAACAGTGAGCTAGGATATTTAAATCGAAAGTAAATGGCTTACCTGTGCTGGAATCAATCCGAAAATATAAATTAGCAGATTTTTCCACAATTTTATAAAACAAAACTGCATTAAGCTCAGAATCTTTATCAGCAGCAGCCACTACTAATGGAAGATTAGATTGATCAAGCACGATGCTATCAGCATCTACAGCTTCACTGACAAATCCTACAACTTCAGTTTCAAGGAAATATGGGTGATTATCATTGCGATCTAAGACATGGATAAGAACCATAGTTTCAGCAGATGTTCCAACCATATTTGTAGAACGCACAGTTAAATTAAAAAACACATTTGTTTCATAATCTAAAGATTTTGTAGTAAGAATAACACCAGAGGTAGGATTGATTGTAAAACTGTCTTCTTCATTACCATCAATAATTTCATAATATACAGAAGAACGACAAGTAGCTGTAACTCCAACAACTTTAGTTTCACTTCTACCATTCTCAAACAGTTCAATAACATATTCAGATTTATCAAACTTGGGTGGTGCATTATCTGAAACAGTAATTATAATGTGAACATTTACACTTCCATTTAAAGGTGAATCTCCATGATCTATAGCTCTAACACTTAGAAAATACTCAGACATCGAATTTCTGTCCAGAGTGTGAGAAACTTGTATTATACCAAGAGTAGGATCAATATAGAAAGCTCCACCAACATTTCCTGGGAAAATGAACATTTTCATTAATTTGATAAACATTAAGTTATTAATTGTTATTCTTAACAACTATTTTTAGCTACAATGTAAACAAAACCAAAAAATTTATTTAATATTTTTTGACAGAAATTTATGACAAAGCTAATATAAGCCTTCTTGTAAAAAGAAAAAAAATGTTCCAGGAATTATAAAATTAAAGGGATAAGTTAACTTGAAATAATAAATAAAGAGAAAAATTCAAATACGGCCTAATTCATGGAATTTAAGCACAAAAATTCGATGAAGAATTACAAAGTAAAAAAAAATACTACATATGTTTTTTTTTGAAAAAAAAAAAGATATAAAAATCAATGGGAAAGGAAAATTTAAAAAAAAATTTTATTGATTAGTTTTAGTTACTGTTAGCTATATCTTGAAAATTTTTTTAACTTATTTAAGCCCAAGTATATATAATTAGGCATATACAGTCTTTTTTTTGATTTTCGTTACAGGGCCAAATTCGTTAAAAAAAGTTCTCTCCTTAACTGGTTATAAGACTCTTCAGAAAGATAGAATAACTTAATCAATATCCATCATACACAACTCTTACCCACTGGTAACTTCAAGATATACTTGTTTTAGAAATTATTAAACTTATTGTGTTAATAAGTGGTTAAGAATATTTAAGAAAAAAATATTTTCTTTGAGATTAATCAATTTTTTTTTAAAAATAAACACAGCACCATTTTCAATTTGTTTTTAATTATTCAGAGAAAAAAAACAAGTAAAATTAAGTTGATTTAAAATAATTAATATTTATAGATAATAATTAATGTTTACCTGATACAACTGAATAGCTTAGTTGAGCATTTTTTCCTTTGTCTCTATCAATAGCAATGACTTGTAAGACTGATGTACCAATAGCAGCTGTTTCAAATACTTGACCTTCAAACATGCTTGTTAAAAATTGCGGAGCATGATCATTATGATCAAATACATTTATTTCTAACCTTGTAAAACAGCGTTTTGAAGGAGTCCCACTATCCATAACAGCTACTGTAAGTATGTGACGTTGAGCAGTTTCATGGTCTAAAGGTTGAGCAACAGAAAGTATTCCAGTTCTTGAATCCAAACGAAATTTGGAGATACTGTAAGGACTAGCACTAGAAAAAGTAAAAATAAAAATATATATAAATTTAACAATTTACATAATATATTTATTTCATTTAAAAATATCAAGTTAATTTATTAATAAGCTTAATATACTTAAATAAAATAACGATTAAAAATGCTTTAAAAATCGGTTTAATTATAAATATTAAGGATAATTAAATAAGTATCTTTTAATCTTTTGATGATTCTGCATGTAAAAAGATACCTTTTTCATCTGGATTTTTCCATAAATTGAAAACGAATATACACCTGAAAGAAGAAATCACAAGAATACCTCCACATTTGCTTATTTGAAAAGCATACAGGAAGTTATTAATGCATAATAAACACAAACAATGTTTCTTTGGTGCATAAAGAATTTTAGTAACAATAATTGCTTTAAGCTTATTCTTTTCTAATATCAAGAACCAAATGGCCAACCAACTTCTAACTTCAAATAAAAAATATTAATTACCTATTGTGAATAGTGTAAAGCAAACGTTTGTCTTGATCTCTATCAAATGCTTCTAGTTTCAAAATTTCAGTATCCACTGGACTGTTTTCAGCAATTTGAACTTTGTAGGTATGTTCCAAGAATTCTGGCATATAGTTGTTAATACTCATAACTTTAATTGATAACTAAAAAAAAAAAAAATTTATTTATAAAAATATTTATAAGTAAAATTTTGAAACCAAAATAACCTTTTGTTATTGAAATAGTTTAATAGCATATAAGCACAACCAGGAAAGAATTAAAAATTTAAAAGTATATAGGTTTGTAATTAATTTTTGACTTACACAATTTAATAGCAATAATTTTTTCAAGTAGGGGAAACAAAAAGATATAGATTTAACTCTAATATTGTTTTCTTAAGAACTCTTATAAATAATTAACGTTTATTAATAAAAACTAGTTAAGTTGATTAGATTTAAGCAATGAAATAAATAGTACAATTTCTTAAGGACATGATTTATGTAAGTTTAAGGACATGATTTATGTAAGTTTAAGTACATAATTTATGTAAAAGTAACAAGAAGTTACTTTTTCTTGGTTTTCAAATCTATATAATTACAACTTAGTAGGATATTTAAACTGCTCTTGGCTGAATCATAAATAATTAATGAAGTGCATTGGTAAACATAATGCAAATGATACTTACAAAAGTAGATACTGAATAAATGCCATCTGTGACAGCAATGCTAAGATTATACATAGGATGAACTTCCCATTTTAATTTTCGAGCAAGTAAAACAGCTCCACCTTTTGACTGAATCATGAACATATCACCAACATTTCCACCTGTAATAAAAAAAAGGAACAATAAAAGAAAGGTTGATGTATCACTATATATAATTTTGCATCATTATTTTTAAAAAAAAGTTATTTTATAAAATTGGAAACATACACTATAAAAGACTTTTGATATCAAATAGTATTGAGTTAACATTTGGGTCAGACAAAACTTAGAGACAAATAGTTTTATTTGAAAAATATTGATTCCGAAAAATGGTAGACTACACATTTTTGAAAAGTATCAAGATAGGATTGTTATGGTCAAATTTAAATATATCATTCTGCATTTGACAAAATCATGATATAGCATATTCAGGTTTGAAGAGACATTTTAGGACTTTATGAACCTCTAAACAATCACAAATAAGCTTCTTAATAAGTTCTAACTTCATTTATATTTAGAAAAGACAAAAAAATATTGTTAGTGACTTTTATTTTTGTAAAATTTACAATGCAAAATTTTTAAAATTAATTCCATTTAATTCTTCATGTTGTTCTTTAATCTGCTATTTTCTGCTATTAAATAGTTGTCAACATATTCATACTAACTCTTTTACTTAGAAGATGGTGTAAAAATTTTATTTTTGTCCTAAGCAAAATTACACAAAATATGCATTAGAAATAAAATTGTATACTTGCAAAGAATAATCAAGAACACTTTATGATCTGGATTGAATGGTTGCAATATCAAAAATATGGTTAGTCAGAAGAGTGATCAAAATTTTGTTCTCCTTTATGTCAATTTTAGTTTTTGAATATTATGCTAGATTGAATGTTTATATGCTATATCGAATCGCAGCAAATGTTTTGGCTAATAAATTTATAAAATTTGTTTATTTAAAGATAATTTTATGTAATTCATATTTTGAATTTTAGTACTATTTAAAATTATGTGGACTAAATTGTTGAAAAAGTTTATATACACTACCGACCAAAAGTTTGTGAAAATTTTGAAATCTACAAAAAAATGGTCTAAATTCAAATGTTCATGGAACTGCGAAAAATCATTCAAATTGCATGAAAATTTGATATGCTCTAAAGTGAACCCTCTACATTTAGTTACATATGATCAAATTGCAATACTTCGTTTTTTACGAACTGAATCCAGCTTTTCATCATGGGTTGTTTCCATAGTGAAAAAAGTTGTGAAGTTTGAACACTTGCCAAACTAGCAAAAAAAAAAAATAGTTTTGGTACTTTCTGTTAATAGAAAATAGTTGTTTGAACCGTTCTATGTAAGCCTTCAAAATTTCAGATGGATTTGACTTTTTTTGACGAAGTTATAGAATTTTGAAAAACATGTGTACTTTTCTCGATTTTTGAGCATTCCACATATGCGGTCTTTTGGTCTATACATCTTCTAGCAAAGAACTTTTTAATTTTAATGTTTTCCATATTTTCAAATAATTAATATTGATTATAAAACAAATATTCTTATTCATTATTGTAATTATTGTTATTACAAAGAATTTATTATGAATATAATTAAAACAATATCTCATAGATGTCACATTTCATCGAAAATTTGTTTGTTCTTGCAAACGATGCTCTGATATTTGAATCGAAGTCAGTTATGGGACATTTTACAACAGGAATGGAACTCTATATCACTTGAAGTGATTAATGGTTTATTAGAACGAATGCTATGCATATGTAAGGCTATAATAAAAGCAAAAGGTGGATGGTTCGAGGAATCTAAGATTTAAATGTTAATTTATTTAATTACAAAATACGAATAAGAATATGTTAAATATTTGACCTGTTGTAAATAAAATAGTTTGGTAAAAATGCAAATTTTTTATACTATTGTTGCTATTTTTTTAGAATTATTTATGTAATTATTGTTATAACTTTTTATTTTAATTTAATGTAAAGTAAAAATATCACAACAAAACTAATACATATAAGCAATAAATATAAACAATAATAATTACAATAATGAATAAGAGTATTTGTTTTATAATAAATATTAATTATTTGAAAATATAGAAGACATTAAAATTGAAAAGTTCTTTGGTAGAAGATGTATAGACCGAAAGACTGCATATGTGAAATGCTCAAAAATAGAGAAAAGTACACATGTTTTCCAAAATTCTATAACTTCGTCAAAAAAAAATCGAATCAATCTGAAATTTTGAGGGCTTACATAGAACGGTTCAAACAACTATTTTCCATTCACAGAAAGTATAAAATTTTTTTTTTTTGCAAGTTTGGCAAGTGTTCAAACTTAAAAAATTTTTTCACCATAAAAGCAATCCGTGATGAAAAGCTGGATTCAGTTTGCAGAAAACAAAGTATTGCAATTTGATCACATGTAACTAACAGTAGAGGGTTCACTTTAGAACATATCAAATTTTCATGCAATTTGAATGATTTTTCGCAGTTCTATGAACATTTGAATTTAAACCTTTTCTTTGCAGATTTCAAAATTTTCGCAAACTTTTGACCGGTAGTGTACTTCACAATTCAAAAGTTTTTGATTTGCTTACAAACTTTTCAAGACATAACGAAATAGGCAAAAATTAAAATTAATGTTAAGGGACCTAAACTTTAAACCGCTTTCTAGCCTAAATAATTGAGATCAAATTTTCAAGATTGCAGGTAGCCCCATATTTTAAGAGTCAAGAATCCAAATCCACCAATGTTTGTTCAGAGAAAGTAAGATTTTGAGTCTGATTTTGTAACTAAAAATATAGTCTGCACTTATTAATTAGCATATTTAAGGCTTAAGAAAGGTTATAATAAGATCTAAAATTCAGGGTATTTACTTTCTTATTTTGTGCACTGTTCTAGAGCGGTAGAATCCTTATAAGATCTTGAACAATTTTTTAAAGCAATAGAAAATAAAAGTAATTAAACATTTCACTCATAAATTTTTTTTTTAACAAAACTTGGATTATTAATTGTTATTAACAAAATTTTATAAGACAAAATTTTGTTGTTATAAGATTTTGTTATATAAAATTTTGTTGTTTTGCTGTTATAAAATTTGTTATAAGACAAAATCTTATGATAGATGAATATATTTTCATTTTTCAATAAAGATTATCTAGAAGCAACTCATGTAATAATTTTTTTGTACAACCTAATTCTTGAATTTGGATTTAGCAAGCAACTGGATTTAACAAATAATTTGTGATATCCAAAGCTACTTCTTAAATATGGGTTCTATTATAAAAATAATAATAAATAATATGTACTCATTTTAAAATACTATGTTAAAGGAAAAAAAGCACATGTTGTAGTTTTTATTTAAGCAAATTTATTTTTTAACGATTCTTAGAAATTGTTAAAACAACACAGAATTTCATATTCAACTCTTAAATAATACAATATATAGAATGTTACTCTTATACTCTTAATCGTAATTTCATTCTTTTAATAAGTACTAAAGATAATTCCATTTCAAAGAATCTTATAAATAAACTTCTCATCAATAAATGTTTTCACATTACAATTTAAGTGCATAGCAAATAGAAGTACCTGATATAGAATACCACAAGCTATCTCCATCAGGATCATCGGCTTGAATCATGGCCACTAAGTTACCAACTTTTTCACTTTCTGATATTACAAGTGATTGAGATTCAAGTGGTTGAATAACAGGTGGGCTTTTACTGCTGACTGGAATTGAAATAACTTCTAATATGATTCTTGAATTTGAACTAAGGGAAGGTTTCCCACCATCTGATGCAGTAACCTTTAAAAAAAAATTTTTTTCTTCTGAATATTGATGTAATAATTTTAGCAATTAAAAATTAAAATCAATAAGTTTTCAAAAAATCCATAGCTAATTTGTGAACCTTTCTTGTGCCTCTTTTTGTATGGTACAACAGCACAAACAATTCAAAACAATACTTGTATTTTTCAAAAAATTTAAGTAATGTATCTCGATCCCAATAACCCATAAAATTCATCATAATCATTCAATTTTTTTAAGACTAAACTACATATTTTAAATATTTAATGGTATCAGTGATGGGATTTAAATCATTTTAGACCAAAGCAGAGCACTTAAATATTTTTTGGAAAAAATAATAATATTGAAACTGAATATGTAAAAAATACTCTTATAATTAAGAACCAAATTAATTATTTAAAAAAAACATCCAACATTTAATTATATTTGAGGTCCAATTTTCCAATATTATATAAATTGGAATTATTTTGTTTCTTAGAACTGGTATGCACAGATTTTGTTTGAATTCCTTAGCTGGATACAGTATATAAATGGTTACAATCTATTTAAATGCTCTTAAATATTTTAAAAAGAAATATAAAGTACCAGAAGCTCATATTGTTGACCTCCTTTTACAGGTCCCTGACTGTATATTACCCCAGTTTTCGGATGAATTCGGAATAAGTGGGCACTAGACCCTTCAGAGAGAACATAAGAAATGTCCCCATTTGGACCAGAATCTTCGTCTGATGCAAGAACCTGTAATAATCAAACTTGTAACAGATATATAGATGCCTGATAAAAATTTTAAAACTGTAATAAATAAATAAATATATGATCAAGTAAAAACTATGCCAACTCAATTATTCTAAAAAAAGTTTTTTTTTAAAAAGCAAATAACAATTTGAAATTTTTTTTATTGCTTCATTCAATAAAGAAATTTTAATACTTGACAAGGAGTCGGTCCTTGTTTGGCCATCTGAGGAATGTAACAACGCTGCAACCTTTGGAAGAAAGTAGGGCCATGATCATTAACATCAAGCACTTTAACAACAATACGTGTGGTTGAAACTAATGGAGGATCACCATTATCACTAACTGTAACCTGAAAGAAAAGATCAATCCATTAAATAAAAAGAAGAGATGTTTAGTCAGTCATTTCGATTAAACTTCTCACTAATTATCAAGAGTGCCAAGAAGGGCACTGGCGCTTTACCTGGGTAACAAAATTGTGAAAATATACATTAAATCTGAACATTAAAATTTTTTAAACTTAACCAATAAATATTTTTAATTTTATGATAGTTTGAACAGTTTCTTAGAAATATGAACTTTTTCTTAATCTTTTAATTAATAAATTCAATCAGTTGTTAAATTCAATTATTCTTACCAATTGACTTTCAATTTTGAAAAAAATTTAATATGATTAGTTATTATGTTTTCATAATGTAGTACACAGCATACAGTTTTAATAATTTTTGTAAAAATAACTCTTAGTGCCATTTACTCTTACTTCAAGTTTTAGTAATTTTCAGAGGTTAGAAAATTTTTAAAAATTAAAAACTGGGTGTTATGAGTTTAGTATACAATATATTATGTCCTTGACAATTACTTTTTAATTTTTAAAAATATTTCAAATTTCTAAAAGTTGCTAAAAAGTAGAGTAAGTGTGACATCAAGAGTTATTTTAATAAAAAATTATTAGAACTGCTTTATTTAGTTATTTTTTGGATTGAGAATAATGCAGCTGAAGTCTGACATGACATTAGTAATAAAGGTATCACTCTATAATAAAATATGAACAAGCTCTTTATAGTTCCTCTAAAAGTTTCTCCAATAAACTTTCTATTTTTGTGCCTTCTTTCCATTTTTTTTTGACTAGATAAAAGGTTTAGATACTTTCTGTGACTTTCAATGGTGACTAAAAGAAATTTTGTTTAGAATTCAACACAGTATTCTCTTATATTTCATGAAGCAGACTATATTCAGGTAAAACATACATAAATTGTCATTATAAAGAAGATATGAGTCTTATATGTAAAGCCTTAGAATTCAAAGCTTTTTCAGAAACAGGTAGATATAAGTGCTTTATTAATATTTTAAAACAATTTTACGAATTTTGAAAAATCTGATCAAAGTCAAAATACAGTTTTATAAAAAATACAGTTATGATCAGTTTTAAAGCCATAAAAAAAAATCAATGCTACATATATAATACGTCATAAATGTTTTTAAAAAAAATTGCAGTTGCAAAATGAATTTAGAAGTATTTAATGAAAGTAATAAAAAATGAAACAGAAAGGATAGATTCTTTACCTCTAATACATGTTCAGCTTGAGTCTCTCTATCAAGAAGATTTGAGGTTGTAGTAATTAAACCTGAAAAGAAAATAATAAATAAATAAACAAAAACTTGGGAGTACAAGTTAATCCATATTAGCACTAATCAAAATGTAACTCAAAATTCCAATTGAAGCTTGATAACATGCTAGTTTAATTCTATGAACACTTACTTTCAAAATAAAAAAAAATATAAATATCATGAGCTAATATTTAAAATCTTATTCGAAAAGGCAAAACAGCGTGTTACTTGGGCGAGAGAAACTCAGAGTTATTATGGTTAACTTACTTTTAATACTAGCTCTTGTATTGGACTGGTTTTAAATTTTTGTGAAATTGTATGAAAATGTTTAAAAGTAAACACTACGTAAAAAGATTAATGACGTATTTGCTTTTAATAAAGACAACACTAGATGGCACCACTACTATCAAAGCATTGTTAAAGTGGAAATTCAAGTGAAAAATGAGACAGGGGAAAACAAAAGAAATTGATGTGCATGATGGGATTTTGAAATTTTTTTTTTTTTGGTTTGAGTTAAACAATATAATATAATACATAATGTAGATGAAAACTAAATTAATTATTAACAATATTCAAAATTACGCTATGTATACGTTTTTTAAATACACTCTTATGAAGAGTAATATTTAAAAAAACATTCATTTGAATGCTTTTAAAATGGAAACAAATTTCTTGCCTTTTTTTTTCTTTTTTTTTCTTAAAAAATGTGCAACTACATAATTTTTTTAGCTATCTGAAGAAAACTTAAAAATGCTTCAATGGCCAGATTTTAAAGTTCTTGAGATAAAGAATGAAAAAAACCTTATGCTTTAAAAATTTACTTACAATTATATATATGCGGACATTTTTTTCCTTTTAAATTCTGCGTAATAAGAGGCAATTTTATTGAAATTTTCTTTAAAATCTTAAATTTTGTATTCTACTAAATTTTATTTTCGAATTTAATCATATATTTCTTATTTTTTAAGTAGTAATAACTGTTACTTAAATCAGCGGATTTATTTTCCAAAATAAAAAAAAAAAGCTAAGGTTAGGATTTTTTATAAATCAAAATTAAATGTGTAATCTGTAATTGTTATTTATATAATAAAACTCAAAAGTTTTTAAAAAAAGAAGAAAAAATTTAGTATAATTTTTTTAAAGTTAGGCTTAATTTCTTCATTGAATTTATACGGGAGTAATGTTTACAAATCATTGTTTTTTTTTTCCTTCGCGCAATTGAATCTTTGCCTTTCACGCTCGAGGGTGGGATTTGTTTCCTCTCAAAATAAATTAATAACATTTTTACTCAGAAGCATTAACATTTATTTAATTTTATTACTTTTTTTTCCTTCCAGTAAGTCTTCGGTAGTATAGTGGTCAGTATCCCCGCCTGTCACGCGGGAGACCGGGGTTCGATTCCCCGCCGGGGAGGAACGATTCTTTTAGTATTTTTTGTTTCTCTCTCAGTTAAATTTAAATTCTTTTATTGAATTCACACATGCAGTGGAAATGTTTACATATCTTTGTCATCGTTTTTTTTCTTCTTCCAAACCAGAATCTCCGCCTACCACACTCGATGCTCCCTCTTTTTCCCGCCCTGCCGGAGGAATGAGATATTTATTCGCAATTCGACATAACTTAAACACATTAAAGGGAACAGTAATTTTCACAGATTATTGTTATTATTATTATTTTTGTAGCAGCTGATTCCTTGGTTACATTTTGGTCAATACTGCTTGGCTTATCATGAGGTCTCAGGGGCCAATGCCTAGGCTATAAGGTATCCAAATTTCTGGAGGTCGTCTAAGAAATTAAAATATTTTTTTGTGTTTTTACTATATTAGAATTTTAAGTTAACCAAAATTAAAATAAATATCAGCTTAAATTAATTCAAATTTACTAATATATCACAATTTACTTATTTTATATATAATTTAAAAGCATTTTGTAAATAAACAAAATGTAAATTTCGCTTAAAGTTACAAACATTATGAATTTCAGTCTTTAAACGAAAATAAAATCAATAACTTTACAATCCTGAACATAATACAACTTAAATTTTTTTCTCCGCATAAACGACTAAAAAAATATAGACAAATAAAATTTCCTACGTAATTGACCTAATATTGAACTTCCGTTTTGATAAATCATAAATTCCAAAATAAGTTGATCCAATGTAATCATGGGTTTGATATCAAACGAAACAAATATACGTGACAATATGAATTTCTATCTACGAAAATAAAATCAATAACTTTTCAATACAGAACATAATACAACTTAAAATTTCTTTGGAATAAACAACCAGAAATGCATAGAAATGAAATATTCCACTTAATTGTTCTAATACCAAATTAATGTTTTGATAAATCATTGTTGTAAAATGTAGGCGAAGGTTAACTTAGAATACAAGATTCATAAACCGTTAATCTCCTTACTACAGCATAAGTACGTACTGACTGTAGTAGTTCATGCTTGGTGAAAAGGCCTTGGGGGGTTAAAATGATGAGAGTGATTAGTAAACATTGCTATTAGTCATCAGCTTGTTTAAATATGGGTTTAAAATGGAGATGATTATTTAGGAGTCAGAGCTGTAATAATTGAGCGGAAATCACTAAAGAGGCTTTAGTTATAAATCTTAAGTCATTTATAGCAATTTTAGACTTGCGTTTTAAATTAAATTATTTATTAGATATTTTTTGTTAAAAGTGTCCTTTAAGTTTGTTTAAAATGATGCTTATAATTAATTAATAATGATCTATTTAAACTAATAGTAAAAAAAAGGAACATCCTGAATAATTTTTGATGCAATGATTGGATTTTAACGAACTAACTAGCCGCTTTAATAGTTAAAAGGGCCTAAACTTAAACATGCTTATTACGAAATCAGAAGTTGCCGTAATCTGGAAAATAGGGTCCCAATAGATCAGGCAGGAGAGCAGTGGTATGTTTGGTCACCTTAATGTTAATTTCGCTTTTCAAGTTATTTGCTATATCTCGAGAAATTTTTGAACAAATTGAAATATTTTTACAAACGATTATAAAATTCATTTATCTAAAGATAAATGAATTTTAATCATGACCATGTAAAAAATAATTTGTAATAAATATTTATTATTTTTTTATCGATTTTGCGGCGACTGAACTTAATTTAATCGGAACTGCAAGAGTTACGATCAGTAACTGTCTCTTATATCTCAATTTTGACAGAAGAATCCCAACCGCCATTGTAGCATGATGCGCTGCTCATTTTATTACTCTTCTTTTACTTAACATTTAAAATGTAAAATAAATACTAAAACAATGTAAACTCAATCTATTCATCTCCAGAACACAACCAACCACCACAGTGGTGACCCGGACGTGATATGATCACGCCTATCTAGACAGTAACGCCCACTTCGATCTAATAACGCCTACTTCGATGGATGGTCCACATTGAACAGTTGATTTGCTACTAGTGACTACGACATTATCCACCTCCTCGCGCTGTTGCTGCTCAGTCTCGTTTCGATCATACACAACGTCAGCCTGCATACACTCGACTGCTAAAGGCAACACAGGAGCGACTACGACCGTAAAGTTAATACACCTCTCAAATTCAGCACTCAAAAACTCGGTGACCTTAATCCAGCTCTCCCGGTCATTCACAAGTACAGCAACTAGTGGAATCCGTTCATCGAATTCTATCCCTGATAAAATTCTAGTGGGGGAGTATTGTGGCGTAACTACCACTACAATTATTAAACATCAATTCACTGGTATATAAGACATGCTAACTTGATTCAATCACGAGGTGCTTTTTGATAGATGAAAGTTGACATTGTCGATAACAACCACCCCCCACAATTTCTTCGAATTAATGGGGAAAAAAAAATTGAATTATAAGGTAAAAAAATTTTTGCAATATTTTAAGGAATGTATTTTTAAGTGACAAAATACAAAACTTAAACGAAATCGATTGAATATTTTTTGACTTATCTAATTTGAAAAAAGTCGTAGATTTAAAATATTGATTTTTCGAGATCTATTCGACCAATTGATTAATTAAGGTCAGGCCTTTGAATTATTAAGACTGAGCCTTAGTTCACGAAAATCTGATCATTAAATATAAAGTTATTCAGGGTCATATATTTATATTCAGAGTGTTATGTTTTTATTTTGAGCACTATACATCAGTAGAATTATCATGGGCTGTAATAATTACACTAGTGTACATATTACTTTTTTTTACTCTGTAGTAGTAATATTTTTAATATCTTAGTAATAAATAAAAATATGATTTTATGCAACAACAATCTATTTCAATATCTGTGTCTGTAACCTATTGAAACGTTCCTAATTTTAAAATTTTATTTACAAAAACAACCTAAGTCCATCTTTAAGGAAATGAAAAGAAAAGAGCTTTCATTAACAGAAAGTTAATGAAAACATAAAAATACTTATTGCAATATTTTTTTCAAGAATTTTTCAAAAAAATAGTTGCCAATTTTTTAAAATATTAACTTTGGTTATTTTTTCGCTAAATCATAATTGTAATATTAATTTTAAGTATTTTTCAGAAATCTTCATATATGCAGTTTATTGACAATTCGACTCCAGGATAATTCGCCACCAATAGATAAACCATTAAATAAAAATTAGATCCACTGTAAATATTTCGAATTCTATAAAGTCGAGTGATAAAATCCGTCATTAGCAGTTATCTAGTATAAATAGATTAAATTTATCTATAAATAACGTGGGTGTCATATGCGGGTATGTCCCCCTAAATTATTGGAAATCTTCAGAAGTCTCCCTCAATATTTCAGACATATAAAGAAAATTTTTGTTAATTATTAGAGCTTTAAATTCCTTAAAGTTAAAAACAAGGAAGAGACAAAAAGAAAAAAAAAATTGCCGGTATTTAGTACATTTAAGATTTTTCTTTCTTTTTATGTATGAAATTTAGAGAACTATTGAGACAGTAATTTAATTTCTTCCCCTCAAAAATTGAGCCCTTGCGACGTCTATGATGAAAAGTGGATTAAATATA